CAGCAGTTATCAAACCACCCTTAAAAAAGAACAACCTGGACAAATCACTACTGCAGAATTACAGGCCGACCTCTGACCTCTGACCTCCCATTCATCAGCAAAGTTATTGAAAAAACTGTGTGTAAACAATTAAATAGTTTCCTCATGATGACCAACTGCTTTGACTCTTTCTAATCTGGTTTTCGTGCTCACCACAGCATGGAGACTGGTCTAGTCAAAGTATTCAATGATATCCATATAAATACGGACTGTGGGAGAACCACAGTGCTGGTTCTGTTGGATCTCAATGCAACTTTTGACACTGTCGACCATGACATATTACTGAATCGACTTGAAAGTTGGGTTGGACTCTCTGGTTCGGTGCTCGACTGGTTTGAATCCTACATAAAGAACAGGGATTTCTTTGTTTCAATTGGAAACTTCTCATCAAAGAGGTCAAAAGTCACATGTGGGGTAGCCCAAGGTTCAATCCTAGGACCCCTCTTATTCAATATTTATATTCTCCCACTAGCTCAGGTCATAACAGGAAATAATATTAGCTACCATAACTATGCGGATGACACACACTCTACACTACGATGTCACCAGGTGACTCTGACCCCATCCAATCACTGAATAAATGTTTAGAGCAGATCAATGTGTGGATGTGCCAAAACTTTCTCCAGCTGAACAGAAACAAAACTGAAGTCATTATTTTTGGACCTAAAGAGGAACGATCTAGAGTCAATGCACAGCTTCAGTTATTACAACTAAAACCTAGCGATCAGGCCCGAAACCTGGGAGTAGTGATGGACTCGGACTTGAACCTCCAGAGCCACATAAAGACAGTAACAAAATCGGCCTTCTATCACCTGAAGAACATCTCCAGGATTAGAGGACTAATGTCTCAGCCAGATCTAGAGAAACTCATTCATGCGTTTGTCTTTAGTCGCATTGATTATTGCAACAGTGTCTTCACAGGCATGTCCAACAAGTCAATCAAACAGCTGCAGCTGATCCAGAAGCTGCTCCTGTTCTCACTAGAACCAGGAAAATAGAGACATAACAGCAGTTTTAAAGTCCCTCCACTGGCTTCCTGTAGCTCAAAGAATAGATTTTAAAATACTGTTGTTAGTTATAAATCACTGAATGGTTTAGCACCACAATACATTAAAGATCTGCTGTTGTTGTATCAACCTTCCAGACTCTCAGGTTCTGGTTCTGGTTCTGCTCTGCATCCCCAGAACCAGAACCAAAAGAGGAGAAACAGCTTTCAGCATCTATGGACCAAAAATTTGGAACAAACTTCCAGAAAACTGTAAAACAGCGGAAACCCTGACTTCCTTCAAATCTCAAGTAAAAACGCACCTGTTTAGAGTTGCATTTGAAATGTAATATGTATGGATTTGATTTTGTGGATATGTAGGTAATTTTTATTTTATTTTTTTCCTGTTGTGGGCAACGGGGCCCGGCGAATACCCGTGGTTAAACGGACGGCGGAGTCCGGCGGTAACAGGCGCTTAAATTCCGTGTCAAAGGGAAGGGGGAAGAAAGGGAAAAAAGAGGGAAGAAAGGGAAAAAAAAAAAAAAAAAAACCTTGGTATTTTATTCTATGTTGCATGCCTTTGTGTTTTGTGTTTATGATGTAAAGCACTTTGAAATGCCTTGTAGCTGAAATGTGCTATACAAATAAAATTTGATTGATTGATTGATTGATTGATATCTATATAACCTCTGGTAGAGGACCCGAGGATATATAGATCTATATATAGATCTATATCTATATAACCTCTGGTAGAGGACCCGAGCTCAGAGGATGAGAACCACCTGCGGTGGCTGAGAAGGGAATTTTTATTTTTTAACCTATTGTAAACCTATTACAACCCATTGTTGTAATAGGTTTAAGTCAGTCTGTCTTTCCTCGTTGACACGCTCCTCGACAGCATTGCACCTTATGGGGTAAAAGCAAAAAACAACCCCCAAAAAAAACGCCTATGTTGCACAAAACTCAACAGACCACAGGAGAACTGGAACATGGCAACAAACTGGATGTGAATTAGGACTTAGAATCTGACGCTGATTCTCATTGAGCAGTGACAAATCAAGAGCTTATAAGAGGGCAGATCAGGTGAAACACATGATGATTAGGTGCAGCAGATGAATGGCGTGATGAGTGAAGATGGTGATGTCATGTGTTGGTGAGGTGCTGGTGGTGAGGCAGACGCTGGAGGCCCAGGTAAAGTGAGTAGTGAATATTTAATGCACAAACAGTCCAGAAAACAGTCAATGAAGTCGACGGCCGGGCAGCAGAGCTGAGCGGAAGCCAGGGCTCATCACCGGTAGCAACTGGTCTTACAGGCGGATAATAATTGACGGCAACACAGTGCAACAAAAACAACAACGACTTACGACAAGGACCCGACGAGGAACAAAGGACACAGGAGGGACTAAATACACTGAGGGTAATCGGGGGAACAAGACACACCTGGGAACAATCAAAGGGAAGACAGGACAAGGAGGAGACTCAGGACACAGAAAACTCAAATAAACATGACAGAAAAACACGGAACATGACAGGTGAGCGTCAATAAAAACGGGAAGCAAAGTAAAAATAAAAAGGACACAACAATGAACCAAGAGAATAATACTGATCAAAGGAAACTAAATGGAAATGCAAGAAGAACAAAATGCAAAAGTTCACTAAGAAAGTAAACTAAATGCAGAATAAACTAGTATTACAAGGCCTTTCCAGCAATGACTAAAACAGGCGGATGTATGGCAAGAACAAACAGACACTGTTTTTATATAAAGGTAAAATAATATCGTCGAAGTGCCATGAGTTTGTTGAGAACACATCTAGTATTAAGAAGCACAAAAACATGCTAAGTTTCTTATAAGGAAATTGCCACTTAAATATGGTTTTAATTAGATTTTATTTTATATATTTAGTTCATCAAAATTATTTTCCACGTCAGTTTTAATGTTATGAGGTTGTTAAGTATGGAAGAGAGGATCTTTGAAAATCTTTGAAATCCTTCATTAGGACTGGATTAAGAACCAGTCCTAATGTTCTTTGTAATTTCTTTGTTCTTTGTAATTTCCGTGCATTAAAACTATTAATTTATAAATAAATAGACAGATCTATTGAAAAATATTATCCATAGTTCTGTCGCATATTTGAATGGCACTAAAAGGATCTCTAACTTTTGTTTTTCCACTGAAAGCACTGATTTGCACAGTAATGCCATGTGTCTGAAATTTTATGGATGATATGTCCTATTCTCCTGAAGGCAGCACAGGGTTGCACCACCAGAAACTGTCAGATATACTGAAGAGAAGTGTTCTGATTGATATAATTGCAGTTCTATGTTTTAATGTTGCACAAAGCACTGTGTGTTTTTGCAAATAGTTCAAAGTTTAAACTGGCATTGTTGTACAATAGCAGAAATTTTATTTTTATATTTATTTAGTTGTTTAATTTTGAGGATTAACAAAAATACATCCTCCAAATGGCACTCCAAGTGTGCCCTTTGGAGTCTCAATTTGGAGTCTCCAATATGGTTTTAATTGGACAATATGTAATATCCAAACTTCTAATGACTGTAACTGAGAATCTCGGGGGAGATTATCTGCAGCCAGTCCTCCTCCCCCTTCTTGTAATACACTGTTTGTTCCCTCTTCCCCAGTACACACAAGTATGCTAGCCCCCCTCACACACACTTTTCTCCTTCAATTTCCCCTGAGTTCCCCTCCGTCTTTGCCCTCCCACCCTTCTAACAGTACCCAAACCTATTCCCTCACTCTACCCACTTCACTCTGACTGAAGCAGCGGACGACTAAAAGCTTCCAGTATTCCAATATATCCAAAATGTGTGAGCGTTCTTACAGCCATAATCATCCACTTCCATAAATTGTGAAGTTCTGCTGAAGAAACATTCAGTTTTGACACGTTCTAACGTGTTTCTCTGCTGGTGAGGAAAAAGTCCTATAAACACCGTTTTGCATGAGGGTGCATAAAGTCTGACTTTGACACAGCAAAGATGCACACATTGCTTGGGATTATGCATGGAGCTGGTGGATTCATGTCAAAACAAACCCCAAAATACCAACGTCCTTATGACAGGACATGTGTTGGATACACATCGGTGGCTCAAGATTTCGTCTCTGAGTTGACCAGTCAGAAATATTCCAGAAAGAATACAGGCATGTCACAACAAGCTTAAATTGATCTCTGGATTTCATTGGCTTGAAAAAAGCCATTTCATTATGTTATTGGTCAAATGTGGTGTCAATCAAAAGGGGGGGCTATGGGCTGTCCAAAAAAAGCGTCATAATGGACACCGGCAGAGCTTAAACCCTTAAATCTCAGCCCCGGAAAAATGGAAAAACAGCACACAGGCGTTCCGGTGCAGGTTAAGGGGTTAATCCTCTCTTCTTGCTCTTTATTTGCCAAAGTTATGAGAGGGAATCAAATTCCCCTTCAATAGATGCAAGTAGCAGTTAAAAGAATATTGCCACATTTAAGCTCTGATAACTTTTGTTGTCATATGTTTTGTAGCCTAAATTGCCTGACAAAAGCCAGTTAGCGAGTTGCTAAATTTTCACAGGGGAACAGAATTTTGCACAAAACACCTAGAATAAAATACTGCTACTTCCTGGGGGCAGCGGAAGTATCGAAGTAATCGTTTCAACAGTAACCCTCCCAGGATTAAGGATTAATTATGTTTCTTCTAGCTACTGAATCATGGGTGTACTTTTTTGACTGTATCTTTTGGTTTTTTATTATTATTATTATACCTAATTTTTGTCCAGTATAAAAAGTTTAAAAATAAGGACATAATTAAATTATCTAGCAAGAAGCACAGCTGATATTAGATATAAATAATTTTATAGGTCATTACCAGATCATTTTAATTACATAGACAAGTCAAATCTTGGAATGGAAGGAAGGTGTACTTTATTTTCCCCATGACTGCTCATAAGAAAATTCCCAGCATTTACTTGTTTTGTGTTTTTTTTAGGTCTGAAGTCAGGAAAATGAAACTTCAACCCTGCTTTTGCTTTCATTTTCTTTCAAAGACCATGTGTTTCCAGCTCTGTGGAGGACAAGCAGAGAAGTGGGTGAATCTAGTCTCACATTCTCTCTCTGGTAAGTAAGCACCAATTTATATTTCTAGCAGTCTTTATGAACTGACCCATTTGAAGAAATGGGGGCGTCTAAAAGTTGAGCTGGAGTATTTATTGGACACATCTGAAGGAGCACTTTCGGGTCAGATCCTGAAATGAGGGAAGATGGAGGAAATGAGGTGTGCTGATGACTTGTGTTCCCTCACTAATCTGATTTGTTCAGTGTGGTTGACTCTTGAGCCGGTGTGGGAAAATATTTCTGGAAGACCTGAGGGAACCATCATAAAATGACCTTGTGTGCAGCTCGACACACACTGTGCTCCTCAAGTTTCCCAGTCAGCTTCACCGTTCTGATACTTTAGCCTCGGGGTCATTGCTGCTCCGTCATGCCCAGGGCTCCAACTACTTACCATACATTTCCTTTGACAGAGGTGAGTGAATGTAGCTTGGAAGAGAAAATATTTATATTTTTAATATCCATTGGAAAAATGAAAACATTATCAGGTTTTGTATCATATTGTGTGTGTGTGTGTGTGTGTGTGTGTGTGTGTGTGTGTGTGTGTGTGTGTGTGTGTGTGTGTGTGTGTGTGTGTGTGTGTGTGTGTGTGTGTGTGTGTGTGTGTGTGTGTGTGTGTGTGTGTTTATTAATATCTACTTCAATGAAACACTCAGTTGTTCATTTAGCTTGATAGCATCTCTGCAAACCTAAATCAGGCTTGTGTTTGTTAGGTTTCTGTTTCCTCTCTGAGTGTCATCACACACAGCAGAGGGAGGAGGTCCAAACTGTGGAGTTCTGCTCTCCAGATGATGCCTCACATGGCTGTGTGCAAGTACGGTAGGTTTTACAGTTGCATATTGTCACCTTCCTAAAATAATGGCCTAAGCCATTCTTTGCCAAAAGTGTTTCTTTTCTTTTTCGTCTTTTCTTTTTTTTTTTTTTGGAAAGACAGAGGTGATGATTCTTTTTTTTCTAAAATTACTTTTCACAAAAAATGACATAGGCCAGTATTTCAAGAAGGTGACAACATATATATCGCAACTACAGTTATAATAGTTTGGGGTTTTTAGTTCTCGTTTAATTTTATTTTGCTGTGACTTTTTGTTTAACTAATTCAGTTCATTTAAATAAGTTTTTAGAGTGACTTTACTGATTTTGCTGTTATCAGCTAAATATTGTTTTTTTTTTTTTTTAGTTTTTTTATACTTTGGATCATTTTTAGTTGCAGAATTCAAAAAGTCAAAGAATTGTATTGTAATTATGTATACATCAATTCGGATACTTAACAAAAAATAATAATTTTCAGTAAATGTATTGAAATATTATTGAACAATGGTTGTCTAGTGTTTTCTATGAACCTTTTCTGTGATGTAACAGACTGACTGCTGCCAGCAGGAGGATGGAGTACTGTAATTTATTTGCAGCTAACATACACTGGTTGTGTCGGGGGGAAATTCAATAAAACTATTCAAAAGGCTAGTAAACTAATTCATAAACACAAACACAAAGGTCATTATGTAATTTTTGTATGTTTTTTTTAGGTTTCTAAATGCACAATATGGTTCGAGTTATAATTTTTCCTCATTAATTCACTTTTTTATATATTTTAGTTTATGAAAATGGTAGGGTTATTACCACATCTTCTGGGAATGCCCAATTATAAAAGAATATTGGAAAGAGATTAATAAGGCCCTACAAGATATTTTTAAGCAGGACATTCCCTTAGAGTTCAAGTTCATGTATTGTGGAATAATTCCTCAAGAAGCCACGAAAAGAAACAAATATTTGATGGCTATATTTTTAACAAGTTAAAAAAAAATATTACAAAAAAATGGTTATCACACGATAAATCTACTTTAAATGACTGGATGGATATAACATTTAATATATATAAAATGGAAAAAATAACAGCCTCTCTCAGTCACAGGACTGAACAATTGGATCACTGGTGGCAGTTATGGGTGAACTATGTCCAGCCTAAGAGACCTGATTTTATTTTGAAAGACCTGACCTGTTGGCCTGGTGGACGTTCTTGCCAATCCACTCTCCAACGATAGCTATACTTCGTAGATAATTTTTTTGTTTTGTATGTTTTTTTTTCTTTTTTTCTTTTGTTTTCTTTTTTTTGTTTTGTTTTGTTTTGTTTTTTACTCTTTCTTTCTTTGTAATCACTTTAAAATCCCTCTCAGGGAAGTGCAGTTACACTTTGATGTTACTGTTGTGAGGCAATGGTTTACTTGTATATCTTATTTCAAATGTCGAAGTTAATTTGGAGACGTAAATGCCCACTGTGATGTAGTGGATACTTTCTTGGGAAACAATAAAGATATGATTAAAAAAAAAAAGAAAATGGTAGGGTTAGGATTTGGGTTTCAGTTTTTGTTAGTTTTAATGTGACCTTGGTGACAACTCCTCACTTTGTACTCTGTAAATGAAGGAAAACAGAGTGAAAGGGGTTTGAGTTGTTTTTGTCTCTATTTGTCAGTTCCACTGGTTCTAGTGGGAGTTGTGGTTTTGGCAGCCAGCGGGATCATAGCAGACCCTCTCTACGAGTGTCTCCAGGACACTGACTACAGAGAGCTCCTGGACATTGTGACGGATGGACTCCCAGCTGCCAGGATGCCTCGACACGTGGCAGTCATCGGCGGGGGCATGGCTGGACTGACTGCTGCCAAAGTCTTAGAAGATGCAGGACATAAGGTTGGATGGGTGGAGAAAGACAGTGGCAGAACTAGACTTTTAAAGAGGGAGAAAACGGGCTATATATATATACATATATATAGCCCGTTTTCACACGATAATGGGCTATATATATATATATATATATATATATATATATATATATATATATATTCTTTTATATACACTCAGTATTGTTTTTCTTCTTTCTGTATTTGGGTGGATTACAACGACTCCAAAAACTGTACAATAATGACTTGGTTCTGTTATATGTTAGTCTTGTGGGGGGCCAGTCTCCAGATGTCAAGGTTGGCACTGACCTTTATAAGTGTAAATAGGGTGGCAGTGGATGATGTTTCCATGGTGATGATTATGTTTCCCTGTCTATGTATTAAAAAGGTGACCATAATAGAAGCTAGTGAGCGAATCGGAGGACGGGTGGAAACCTTCAGAAACAGAAGAGAAGGCTGGTACGCGGAGGTGGGAGCCATGAGGATCCCAAGCTTCCATCAGTGAGTAGTGAATTGATGTGAGGTTAAAAAATAAATTCTAAGGTTTTATGCATCAGAATAAAAGGTTTACCTTGTCTACATAGGATTCTAATATGATTTGACATGTTTCTTAGTGAATTCAACCCTTATGAGTGATTGCACAGGGGAAGAAGCAGTGAGAAGAGGCTCTTTACTAGCTGAGCATTAAAAAGGTTCTGTTAAAACAAGAAGCTTTAGAGTTTGCTAATAGATTTTTCTGTACCAAGATAGAGACAATGAACTCAAAGAAGGAAATTGGTTTTACATGGTCAGAGGTCATAAGGTCATTTCCAAACCAGTTGAAATCCATCATTTTGTAGTGAGAAAGATTATTCCCAGATGGAAAACAGTTAATACTTTGATTATCATTCAAAGATTAAATTGGCTGACAAAATTTATATTGTACAGAATTTAGAAAAAAAATAAAAAAATAGAGCAAGTGCTTCATATCACACTTTACAGGCCTCAGTCAGCATGTTTATTGTCCCCAAGAAAATTTGTTAGCGCTGTTTTTTTTTATTGAATGTTAATATTTTAACAAATATATAAATGTAACATTTGTTTATGGAGAATATCAATGCTCCTAAAACCGGAGTTTGGGTTTTTCGTACTGGCTTCCTTTTTCTCGGCTATTCACCACCCATCCACCAGATAGCGTCAGAGACCGCTGTTTCCCGGCGGGCATGCCAATCTCCTACACACCTACTCTGTCTCCTCATCATCTCTGGAGCTCAAGAGGAGCTGACTGCCAGTTTGTCAATGCCTGAGTGTTGCCAGAGCCTCCAGCATAAACTCTTAGCTGCTCGCTTGATTTCTCTTGCTGAGCTCCTCCTCCAGGTGCCTTCCTCGAGATGCCGAGTTCCTTCGTGAAAGGATTGTTTCCCCCTGGTTTTAAGGAACTTATTTGCTTCTGACGCCGTGGAGATTACCCCCTGATTGCCCGAGTTCCTGCACCTCCCCCTGGAAATGCCATGTGGCAGACGGAATGCTCCTCTGTCTCCGGCTGCCAGAACTTACCTTTCCGTCTTCCACCACAGCTTCGTCATCACCTTCCAGATCAGCTTGACCAAGCTAGATCCTCTGAAAGCTGGAACCCATAGACTAACTAACCTCGACCCAACAGTTAAAACCCTCCTGGACCTTCACCATCTACTCTGCAAGTAAGAGAAGTCCATTCCCCGAGAGCTGTTCCCCCCGGAGCTGTTTTCTATTTCCTGAATATACAATAAATCATTTTTTACTGACTATCTGTTCCCTGTGGTGTTCTGCATGTGGGCAAGAAAACTAGAATCGAAAATGACAGAACATCCATCCATCCATTTTCTGAGCACCCTTCTCCCTAACGGAGTCGGGAGGTGCTGGTGTCTTATCTCCAGCTGCGTTCCGGGCGAGAGGCGCGGTCACCCTGGACAAGTCGCCAGTCTGTCGCAGAAAATGACAGAACACTCAGGCCAAAATCTCAGCCCAGCAGATGCCATTAAGAGAACACTTTCTGAACAACAGTCACTATTACAATCCCATGAATCAGCTCTCCAGGAACTTAATACCCGTCAAATAGAGACCAATCGGCGTCTGAACGAATTAATGAATTTTTTTTTGCAAAACTCTGTTTCACAGTCTCCAGCTCCAGCACCAGCCCGGATCCAGATCCTCCAGCCCGTACCACGTTTTTCTGAGATACGCCCACCGATGCTGGAAAGATTTCTCTGGGGACATGGACAAGTGTAAAGGTTTCATTTTACAATGTTCCATAATATTCAATCACTCAACGCAAAGCTTCGTCCGTGATAGTGCCAAAATTGCCTACGTCCATTCCTCTTCTCGCTTCTCTTCGAGTCAGAGGTATCAACGGTCAGACACTCCCTCAAATCACCCACCGAAGTAAACCAATACGATTAGTCATTTCCAGAAATCAAAGAGAACTCATTTCTTTCTTTGTTTTTCCTTCTGGCAACTCCTCTTTAATCCTCGGTTTCAATTGACTTCAACGACATAATCCTCATATTAACTGGGCAAACCATCATGTCGAGTCATGATCCACCCCCTGTCACTCGTCCTGTCTATGTTCAGCAGTTCCTAAAGCCGCAACAAGCAGACCCTCCCGATCTCTCCCCAGATCCACCTGAATATCATGATTTAGTCCCAGTTTTCAGCAAGTCCAAAGCTCTCTCCCTTCCTCCTCATACACCCTATGATTGGGCTATTGACCTCTTTCCTGGGGCACCCCTTCCTTCCAGCAGCTTTTACAATATTTCCCGACCAGAACGCGAAACAATAGAGAAGTACATTAACGACTCGTTAGCTGCCGGCATAATTCGCCCGTCCTCCTCTCCACTAGGGGCAGGATTTTTTTTCGTGGGCAAAAAGGACGGTTCTCTCCGCCCTTGCATTGACTATCATGGGTTGAACCAGATCACTGTGAAAAACAAGTGTCCCCCGCCACTGTTGTCTTCTGCTTTTGAACCATGGTGCCACCATTTTTTCTAAATTAGATCTCAGAAATGCTTATCACCAACTCCATACTTGTCAGGGGGATGAGTGGAAGACGATGTTCAAGACACTTATTGGTGACTTCGAGAATTTTGTCACGACCTTTGGTTTATCGAACGCTCCAGCATTTTTTTCAAGCCCTTGTCAATGACGTTCTGAGAGATTTTCTGAATGTTTTTGTGTACTTGGATGACATTCTCATTTATTCTAAGTACCTTGCAGAACACAGACAACATGTCCAACTCATTCTCCAACGCTTACTGGAAAATAAACTTTTTGTGAAAGCGGAAAAATGTGAGTTCCACAAAGCATCTGTTTCCTTCCTAGGATTAATTCTGGAAGGCGGACAGGTAAAGCCCACAGAGGAGAAAATCAAGGCAGTCTTGGACTGGCCCATCCCCGAGACGTGGAAACCACCACCCAGAGGTCTCTTGGTTTCGCTAACTTCTATCGCAGATTTATCCGTAATTATAGTCAGACAGCATTACCGTTAACAGCCTTAATGTCATCTAAGATCAATTTCAGTTGGACCCCAGAAGCAGATGAAGCATTTACGAAACTCAAGAATCTTTTTTCCAGAGCACCAATGCTAGTCCAACCAGACCCCACAAAGCAATTTATTGTTGAGGTTGATGCTTCTGATTCTCAGGTAGGGGCCGTGCTGTCCAAAGTTTCTGCCTCAGATAACAAAACTCACCCGTTTGCTTTTTTTCTCCCGTAGTCTGTCCCCCTCAGAGCGTAACTATGATGTGGGCATCCGTGAACTGCTGGCCATAAAGTTGGCCTTGGAGGAGTGGCAGCATTGGCTGGAGGGTGCGGAACATCCAGTACTGATTTAGATCAATCACAAAACCTTATCCTATTTCCAGTCTGCTAAGAGGCTCAATCCCCGTCATTCCCGGTGGTCACTTTTTTTCTCTAGATTCAACCTAACAATTTCCTTTTGTCCTGGTTCTCGCAGCATCAAACCCGACGCTTTGTCCCACGTCCACTCCCCAGACGACACTGATGAGATTCCTGCCACTATTCTTCTCCCCAATTGTACCATAGCTACAGTTATCTGGGAGATTGAGGGTTAGGATTTAATTAAAAAAGCCCAAAGGTCTGAACCCACCCCAGAGCCCAATTTATTCAGTGGATTCACACTTCCAAATTTTTTGCACACCCGGGTATAGGCCGCACTATTGCCCTCATTAACCGCAGGTTCGGTGGCCATCCATACATAAGGATGTCAATGTATTTTAGCCTGCTCCATTTGTTCTAGGAATAAGCCATCCAAACGGCCTCCATCAGGCCTCCTCCAACCTCTACATACTCCCAACCATCCCTGGTCCCACATCTCGATAGATTTCATCACTGACTTACCTACTTCCAAAGGTATGAAAACCATACTCATTTATCAAAAGCCTGCCACTTGGTTCCTCTCAGGAAGTTACCCAATGCATCTCAGACCACCCAGTTGCTCGTGAAACACATTTTCCATTTGCATGGTATCTCACAGGAGATCCTGTCTGACCATGGACCTCAGTTCATCTCCCAGGTTTGGAGGAGTTTTTGTTCAGCACTTGGTGCTAAGGTCTCTCTAACTTCAGGTTTTCACCCCCAGACGAATGGCCAGACAGAGCGCATGAATCAAGAATTGGATTCATGCTTCACATCTACTAACCCGTCCAACTGGATTCAGTTCCTACCATGGGTAGAACATGTTCATAACAGTCATGTATCCACTGCCACTGGTTTTTCCCCATTTGAAGTTTCCTTAGGATACCAACCCCCGCTTCTCTTCTTTGAGGAGAAAGACATTTCTGTGACCTCCATGCAACATCACATACGTTGTTGCCAGAGGGTTTGGAATAGTACGGTCCGTGCCCTGAACCACACAGCAGGACAAAACAAATGCCAGGCCGATCGGAAAAGCATCCCGGCTCCCATCTTCACTCCAGGTCAGAAAGTATGGTTATCTTCACGCAACATCCCATTAAAATCCATGTCCAAGAAACTGTTTCCTAAGTTCATTGGAGACAGTGAACCAAGGTTTTACAGATGTGACAGGCTGATCACATCTGTAATCAGCCCGTCTGCAGTTTGTCTCCGCCTCCCCTCAACCATCCGCATCCATCCCACCTTCCACGTCTTACAGATTAAGCCCGTACAGACCAGCAGTCTGTGCCTTCCTTCCGAGCCCCTACTCCTGCCCGAGACATAGATGGTCATCCAGCCTATTCTGTCTGCCAGATCGTGGACTCCCGTTGGCGAGATTGCGGTTGGCAGTACCTTGTCAACTGGGAGGGCTACGTTCCGGAGGACCATTCCTTGGTCCCCGGTTCATTCATCTTGGACCCATCCCTTATTACTGATTACCGTGGCTCTCTTTCTTGTAGTTCATCTTGTCCGCCAGGTGGCAACGAGAGAAATTACTCGGAGGGGGGGTACTGATGGGAACTGGGGTTTGGGTTTTTCGTTCTGGGTTTCTTTTTCTTGACTATTCACCACCCATCCACCAGATAGCGCCAGAGAGTGCTGTTTCCGGCGATGTCCTAGACACCTGTTCTGTGTCTCCTCATCATCTCTGGAGCTCAAGAGGAGCTGACTGCCAGTTCGTTGATGCCTGAGTGTTGCCAGCAATGGTAGTCAGAGCCTTCATCATAAGCTCTTAGCTGCTCGCTTGTAAACCCTTCGAGTAATTTCTCTCGTTGATCTCCTCCTCCAGGTGCCTTTCTTGAAATGGCGAGTTTCATTTTTTCATCCTCTCACTCTCGTTTCCAAAGCCACTTGAACTTACCATCTCTCTGTTGTCTCCTTAGTGTGGCGCATTCCCCGAGAGCCGTTCCCCCCGAAGCTGTTTTCTATTTCCTGAATATACAATAAATCATTTTTTACTGATTATCTATTCCGTGTGGTGTTCTGCATGTGTGCAAGAAAACTAGAATCGAACATGACAATATTCAAAGAAAGTGACAGTAAGCATGAAAAAAAGACAATTTCCTCTTCATGCACTTAGTGTCTTGTAACTTTTCATTTCGGCTTTATCTTTGTTTAGTGAATAAAGACACAGTTGAACCACAGAATTCAGAAAGGAAGTATTTTCTTTTCACTTTCACCTGATTATAGTTACTGAGTAGGTAACTAATGTCAACTAATACCATTTTACCACTGATTTTTTTCAAATCTTCTATAACTTAAAAGAATGTTGAAAATTTCTTCATCATGGACAAAAATTGATCCCATTCTTTTTATATCACAGGATTCTACTTTCCTTTATCTCCAAATTGAAAATCCCACTGAATTCCTTCATCCAAGATGACATCAACACCTTCTACTTGGTAAATGGAGGGCTACACAAAACCTACACCGTAGAAAACAATCCCAGCGTGCTCAACTACAGTTTGCATGACAGAGAGAAGGGAAAGTCAGCTGCTGAACTCTTCAGTCAGACACTCTGGAAGGTCTGTGGACATTCAGAGGACTGAAAAATGATATTGGTGTGCTTGTTATGGCTGATGTGTTCAGTGGATGGCTTGTGATCTGTGTCCAGGTGAGGGATGACCTAAAGACATTGGGCTGCAGTGGAATGCTGAATAAATATGACTCCTTCACAGTAAAGGTATTAATACGTTGGAGCAATGTGGGAATGTTAAATGAAACACAAACTACAGTGTTGTGTCTATGACTGTGTAGTGTGTGAGAATAGTACTGATTGTAGAGAGAAGAAGAAAAGACAAGTTGGAGGAAAGAAATATCTGATGTGACTGCACTCCTGAGCATTTATTCTCAACTTGCTGAGCAAGTTGAGAGTTATTCTACCTCATCCTGGCTTCCAAACATAACATACAGTAATGGCTTGTGATGTGCAGGAATTTTTGGTGAAGGAGGGCAACCTGAGCCGTGGCGCTTTGAGGATGATCGGCGACATCCTCAATGAAAACAGCCTCTTCTACACGTCCTTGATAGAGATGCTCTACATACAGACTGACATCAATGACAACACAAAGTAAGATTTTCTGTACAGTTACATAAAGTTCAGGAAACTTTAAGAAAACTAGCAACTGGCATCGAGAGACCAAGTAAATCTTTTTTTAGAGTAAGGAGGAAGAGGTCTACAGCATCAACCCAACAGTTGATTGGCTTCGGAAAGAAGCAGGACAAAGGCTGAAAGAAAACCTAAGAAACCCTTAGAGGCAAGAGAGCACTCTAAAAAATAAAATGTTGAACTTACTCAACTAAGGCAACTGGTTCCACTAAACCTAGTTAATTAAATCTAAAGAGTGTCACACATTTACTTTCAACATAATCATTTAAGTAAAGAGAAATAAAATCAGTTAAGAAAATCCAAACTTTAGACTGAAGTTCCTTTAATCATCCTCATAATCATATCTTTATTACAGACACATAAGGTCCATAATAGATAAAACAAACAACATAAGAAATAGGAAAAAAATACAAGATGAAAATAAACACAAAACATAAAATCATTGCGAGGATTTGGGTTTTCTGTGTGTTTATTCATGTTTATGTGTTCAGTTGAGTCTCTGTGTTGTCCCGTCTACATCTTGATTGTTCCCTGATTACCCTCTGTGTATTTAAATCCACCTGTGTCTCTTGTTCCTTGTCAGGTCTTTGTCTATACTGTGTTTGTTCGTATCACGTCTCTCCATTGTTTCCAGTTGCTACCAGCATCTGAGTTCCTTGCCTCTGCTCACCTGTGCTTCCTGGATTGTGTATTTTGTTGTTATTTATCATTAAATCATAATTTTCCTCACTTCAATCTGGGTCCATTGCATCTACCCCACCATCTACTACTGCAAATTATGACAATTATTCACTGAGTAACAAATAAATGATGTCGCCAGGGACTATGCAATCTTGTTGAAAATCTCACCGTACTAAGTGCAGGGTTTACTAAAATTGGAATGATATTATTGCATGAGACAGATAACCTACACCTACATTTGTACATAAGATTCCTGATTACAGCTGCACATGTGAGTACAGCATTATGTACAAACATATGGCTAGCACTTCTCCATCAAGGCACTTTGAGAAGTAGCCTCATGACATCATTGTATGTCACATCAAGTTTCTGCAGGTTGATTTTTTTTGGTATAGTCTCTGCAGATGGGCTGTGTACAGTGGAGTACAAAAAGCTTTAAAAAGAGCTACCAATACATAGGACGAACACATATCGAACCTTCTGATCAGAATATTAGTTTGTGCATATCTGAGGCCAAAGTGGCCCACACTCTGTCTTCAACACAAGGGGGAGCAAACAACTCAAAAAAACCCAAACAGCAGAGCAGTCAGGTGCAAGGTATTTTAATAGAAAAGTTCACAAGTAGTGGCACAATAAAAGCTGTTCTTCTTTATAAAATCCAGTGTTCAATAAAAGTCACCAGTTGAAGGCCACAGGTTGGGCTCCGCTTATTATCTTGTTCGTGGAGGTGACCTATGTGCAGCGCACACTCTTGTTTGTCCACAGCCGGCCACACGGCGCTCCAACACCGCTCCACTCCTCGGCGTGCCACGCCCCCTTCCGTTCCGGTCCAATTAAAAGAAAACACAGGAAAGCGCCAGCATCCCCGCACCAGAACTCAGTCGGAAGTCGTACTCCTGGCCAGCACTCTGCAACCTAGTTTACCTAGTTTAGTGGAACCAGTTGACACAACTGAGATAAGTAATTGAAATTGTGTATGTTTCGCTGGATTAACTAAACAAATCTATCCAATTTAAACCACTCTTAATTTATTTTAGGCAGTTAGTTTTAAGAACAGTAAAGTCAAACCATAACTTATTTTTACAAAACAGAAAAAAGGTCAAGCAGTAAAAGCTTGTTACATTTTTTTCAATAAAAAACAGGTCAGCCCCACTCTGGCAATGGCTCCCACTCGCCTTGATCAATGCCCATGAGAAATTCGAGCACTGGTCCAGTAGGCAGTGTGCGCACCAATGTGTTGAGCAGTTATCTCTGATCATGTGCAAAAAAATCTGGTGCGAATCGGTTATTCAATTAAGGAGATATAACTGTTGCAATGATCCAGGGGGTGCAGTGGAGTCAAATTAAAATGTAATGCTATTGGGCTCTCTTGCCGCGCAAGAAATAATTAAATATTTCCATTTTTTATGTATTATTTGAGTCTGGAGGATATTTTATTTTGAAAATTCTTTAACTGGATTCTCTCGGTTACGTCTTCAGTCAGAAACAAATCAGATTTCTTTGGAAAATGTCATTGCAAAGGGGAAAAGAGAAGAGAGAGGAGAATTGATTTATCCCAGTAGGTGATTCCCACATTCCAAGGCCGCTCTGCATGATATGCTGACCGACTCGTTGATGAGGCAATGAAGCTTCAAACTGCTTCACTACATAGAGACCAAGAACCCTGAGCATCAGCAACACTTTGGGTGTCATTGTCTCCCAGATAGGGGAAACAATCTCAGGACTCTATCAGTCGTTATCGTGAGTTAAAATTTCCACAAAAGTCAAACGTTCGTGTTTGTGGCGCATCTGCATCTTAATTTGAAGGAATATGTCAACGTTACCATAGTGACCAGAGTCAGAGAGCTTTAGGGCAGTGGTCAAGAAGAGATGAGAGGAGTAGAGCTTGTGAGTTTTCGGTCTGGTTCACACGGCATTATTTAAGGATTGTTTGCCAATTTCCCAAACTTCTGAGACCACACAGCCAATAAAAGCCTGCATCTCAAAAGCTGTCAGAGGAGTTTGCACAGATACAACATGTTTATAAGAGACAAAATGGCGGCGAAGGCTTTGAACCAAAATGGCCCACTTCCTGTTGGGTTTGGACTATATCTCCAACAAATGTTTTTGTAGGTCGTGGAAAGATACTCATATTTGCTAAATTTTATGATTGGCAGTCAAAGCAAAGATTTCTAAGGGGCACTGTGGAGAAATTAGGCCACCCCTACTTTTCTGCTGGATGTCTTACTTTTAATCTTTCATTCATAGATTAAAAGTGACATAAATGGCGTGATGAATTCTGTCAACACTGGCTGAACCGTGTGAGCGTGGCCGAAAGGCAAATTTCAGTCCCTCGCTATATGAGTACGGTTATCTCTAAATCATGCATGCATCATCTGATTTGCACCAACCTTGTCATGATTAATTTTTGTGAATCTCTTAAGAGGCCAACAGCATTAAATTGTAATTTGACTCCACTGCGCCTCCAAGGTTATTCCATCAGCTACATCTCCTTAACTACATCAGTCGATCTGCACCAGATTTTTGGTGAGCTGTTGGAAGCTGCTTGCTGATTTAATTAGTTATTCTTTTTGTGTGATTTCTTCAGGTACTTTGAAGTAACAGGTGGTTTTGACCAACTCCCCACAGCTTTCTATCAAGTTTTAAATGCCACAATCCTGCTGAACTCCAAAGTGAAGCTAATTGACCAAACAGGTGGGGCTAATGTGACTGTGACATATAAAGACTGGCAGAACTCAGGTTCCTTGTCAAAAGTGACAGTGGACTATGCCCTTATTACGGCCACAGCCAAGGCCACCCTCTTCATTGACTTCTACCCTCCTCTGTCTGGTAACAAGATGGAGGCCTTGCGCTCTGTTCATTATGCCAGCTCCACAAAGGTAGTGCTCAGTTTCAAGGAACGCTTTTGGGAGAAAGAAGGCATCAGAGGTGGGAAAAGCATTACCGACCGACCATCTCGCTTCATCTACTACCCCAGCCATGAGTTTCCAGGTACCACTGCAGGGGCCCTCCTGGCTTCCTACACCTGCTCTGATGACTCCACCCTTTTTCAAGGCATGAATGAAGAGGATCTGATGGCAGTAGCTCTGGAGGACTTGGTGAAAATCCATGGAGAGTATATCCGACCGCTCTGCACAGGGGGTCTGGTGAAGAAGTGGGGCCTGGACCCTTACAGCTTTGGAGCCTTTGCCCTGTTTATGCCATACCAGCAGGGACACTATGCACGAGAACTCTTCCAGAGTGAGGGACGGGTGCACTTTGCCGGTGAACACACAGCAACTCCTCATGGGTGGATCGAAACTGCCATGAAGTCTGCTCTTAGAGCAGCTAAGAATATCAACAGCTTGACTCTGTAGCTTCATGTCTGTTTTTTCTCTTGAAAAGCTCTAAATAGTTCAACCTTTTAGATTTCTTTCAATATCATGAGCCATTCTCTGCCTGATACAAGGTCTGTTTTATTGTGATGTAGAGATGTTTCTACATCTCAGTATCAATAGTTTTAGGTTTATTTTATTGAAGGCAAATGTTTTATTAAGTCATTCAAACTCATTGGTGATTCTTGCATGAATTGTCTTTTTCTTGCTGTTCCACATTTTTTATTGCTTTTTCCTTCATGATATACACATCTATGGAAACCATCTCTATAAACAGGGTGCCAACCAAGCACACATGAATACAAGCAATAAAAACTTTCTCCTGGAGCAACTAACAGATGACTAAGTTTTGTTTTTAATATAGTGCTCACTTACCGTCTTTCCAATACCGAGTTGGACAATTACCCAGAACAAGAACTGGGCTGATTGAAATGAATCCATTTAGCTTTGTAGATTTTAAAACTTTTAATCAGAATGAGCTTTTTAATAACTGATGACTTAATGTTTGCAAATGGGGATTTTAGCTCAACCTGAAAAATTTGCAAAGCAGATAGTATTAGGAAAATGAAATGCACTCAAGATTTTTAACATTTCTAGAATTTTGCTTGTTGCAGCCTCTTCATACTTCAGCAATTATGTTTTTACTCAAATTCAATTGTGGCTTTAGTTCACTAACTTTAAATAAACTGTTCTACATTCAAAGTTATCTGGATAAACCCAAAATGTCATGTTTTCATATATTGTGGAAATTATTGTCTTGTATAGTTTATTTTTGAGCTAAAAAGTTATTGTTGTTTTTTTTCCCACACTACACCAGGAATGTTGTTTTTACTGACCTGAATAACACAACAAAGTTTTCATCATAACATATCCATATTTTTTATTTTATGGTTAATATCATAGATCCCTTAATCCCTCCAAAATAGCCAAATATTATTTCTTAATTTGAGACAACTGCCTCCTGTACGTTTCAATAAAACAAGATTAGAACATTGAAGGTGTATTGTGACGTTATAACACCTGACAGTGTCAGTTATTTAATAAAAAAACATTGATAAATGGTCAAAATCTGAATCCATAAATTAGATTAATGATCAAAAAGAAAACTGTAATTGGTGCAGTACTAGTTTTTAAATCACTAAACAGAAAGGGGAACAGAAGAAGATATGTATGCCTTTCAGTAACACTGTCAAATAAACTGGATTGTTGCATAAATCAAAGAATATAAGCCGACTATGTATTTCTATGTCTTTCGCCTACAGACAGAAAAAAAGAGCACAATACTGAAAGATTTTAATATCATTTAAGACCACTGGATTCTATCAGAACCCTTGTCAAACCTTTGACAACTTGCAAGGATTTCACACCAGAACATCGATTATGTGCAGTTTACAAACTGATTGACATCCAGAAACATGAGAGACTTCATCCCACATCTCCAGAGCCTGAAACATGTGGTCCTCTCCCATCAGCTAATACAACACGAGTGTCTTGTGAGCAAATCATCCTTCTGGGTCAGGTCCATGATCAGTGAGTGCCCTTCTGCACCATCTGTGTGAAGCGGTTGGTGATGGTTAGGGTGGTGTCAATGAACCTCTCCACACAGTTCTGCAGACATGTCTCTGTCCGGTAGTCCAGCTTGGAGCCTGGGCTATCCACACACTTGTCCCAGCACACGTCTGTGAAACTGTGCACCTGGAAAACACAGCAAGCAGACAGACGGTCAAATGGACATCTCTGGATCTGACTCAGCTCTGAGTCCAACAGTGAACCGGCTCCTTTCATGGCTGCTGCAAAGCTGCTGAGTTGCAGTAATAACGATAATGCCTACAGGCTGACATTTGGAAAGTTACACAGTAAAGATTCACGGTAATATGGAAAGAAAGAAGGTTGTTTTTAAAAGGTACGTTTTTAATTTGAAGCTAAATTTTTCATTTGAAAGCTAAAAATGTAGTAATATTTCGTTTTTAGGTTGTAAACAAAATGTTTAATTGTGAGATAAATATTTAGTTTGTTAGCTATTTATTTAGCTTGTGAATTAAAAATGTTGTTAGTTTGAAACTAAATATTTAAATAAATATAAAACTGTATAAATATAAATGTTTAGTTAAACTAAACAATGTCATAGTTCCAAGCCAAACACTTAATTCAAAAGCTAAACATTTAGTTTACAATGTAAATACCAATGTTTGGCTTGGAACTATGACATTTATAAATGTATCAATAATATGGTGAAAATATGACTGAATAATGAGTGACATATTTCTTCTATATAACAAGATAACTAACCCCCCCCAAAAAATATTGCTGTTAATTTTTCGCTCTGTAACTTTATAATCACTGCGACAGACTGGCGACCTGTCCAGGTTGACCCCAGTGACCCCGCTTCTCGCCCGGAACGTTAGCTGGAGAGACACCAGCACCTCCTGACCCCACAAGGGACAAAGGTGTTAGAAAATAGATGGATGGAACTTCACAATCAGTACCTGTCAGATTATATCTGGAGAATTAGATGTGTGGACTACAATAAAATGTCAACATGAGCCCTCAGTACTGTGTGGAACACATAAAGCATTAAGTCTTGGTTCTTTTGGACATCTTGGGATAGTGTGGTCCCCTGCATGTGGCCTGTCAGGGCCGGGAAGACACAGGTCACCGCGTGGGAACAAACCTGAGCCTGGAACTGGGCCTTCTGCTGCTCTATCGCGATCATCTTCTGAAGCTCCGACGCTTCTGCCTTCTCCGAGGCGCTGAGATTATCAAAGCTGTCCATAAGCTTCTAGAGTCCACGCAAAGAGCCGACGAACCGGTCCAAGTGGTGGGATAAGCGTCCTTCACACTAACCCGACGTGAGCTACCGCGGACGAGAGCCTCTGGAAATCCCGATCTACAAACAATAAAGATGCTCCTCACACCGTGATGAGTCACATCGTAGTAGTTTCGAAATCAGCGTCCTGACGGTGACGGAGGGCGTTCCATTTACTAAGATATTTGATAGTAACAAGACGTTTTACTCTGACCCCTAAAAAGGTCAGTTAGAAAAGGAAAATTTATTACTTTAAATGTACCAGTATAAAAGACAATATCTCTCATAAATGAAACAAAAAGTCTTTTAAAAAATGCCCAGGCTTCATAATTTTTCTAAAACACCAACATTGAAGAAAATGTTACCACGTTTTGCAAGTATTGATTTATTGAAAAAAAGTCCTGTTGTAATTTTTTTTTTAAGTAAAAGATTATGTAATATTTGGGACTCTGGCCCATTTTATTTAGCTTGAATCACTGAAAGCAAATGTAGATACTCTTGTGTAAAAGAACAAAGTACTTTTGCATATTTGACCGAAAGTAACCTGCCAGAACTCTGAGCGGAGTGAGGCATCGCCTTAAACATTCAACAGCTTTGGACATAACAACTAAATCCGGGTAACAGTGGTGACCTTCGTGAGTTAGTCATCATGGCGGCCATCGTCAGATTGAGTTCTGTGTGTCGTAGGAGTGTAAAACGTGAGTACCTGCTCTCTGTCTTCCAGGTGTGTAGGCTTTCTGAGCACGAGCGCTAACCTGAATACAGCAGAGCGAAAGAAGGACACGAAAAAAGGACCAATGAGGTGCTCAGGCGGGTTACACAGAAACAATGGCCGATAGGGCTGTTGTCAAGTTCACGACAGAAAATAGAGGAATTCAGGCGCACAGCTAGAAAGTGCTAAACTTTGATATTACAGCTTCAATTTCCGTCTCGGCCCTAAGGAACGGGACTTCGTGTTGTGATGTTAAAAACTGCCAGTGTGATAAAATGACATGTAAGGTATAGCGCGACACGCCTGCGTTTAGAAAGCCGTCGTACAGTGACCTCTCACATTCTGGAAAAGAATGTGAAATGATTTATTTATTTCCCTCCTCTGACAGTTATGGAATACGATAATAGGAGCATAAAAACTGTTACTTCCCCATGCTCCACTGTATAAAAGGTTTACCCATTTATCCATTTCAATACAATTATGTGGATTTTCCAAATTCTGTGTTTAAAGTCTGACCCTTGCAGGAATCTCTGCAAGAAGTTTATGATGAAATTAGTTAAACATTTGTTTTGGATTAAAATACGATTGACAGTTTGAGCCTGTGAAATATGTAATTTTGATATGATAAATGTGTTAAAATAATAATCATAAGACCAATGAAAAGATTGAACCTTATTTTTTTTAATCTTGTATCAGGTAAGATGGCAGCTATGTAAATAAAGTCATGAGTAGATTTATTGTAAATGAAGCAATGCCTCGCTGGTTTTCGCACTGAGCAAAGCTACCATTATGACGTATTGTCAAAAGTGCAGACAATATGCCACACCAGATCTAGAATATTTTCCAATATCAGGAATGATACAGATATTAATATTGGATTAATCCTAGACCTGGGAACCCTGCAAGGATAGCCTCACCTCATGCTGCTTAGAAATTTTGCCTTTGTTTTTGTTGATCATCATGTCCTAATTTGCCTAATTTTAATATTTTTATGATTTTCTAGTTTATCTTCCAGCTTCCTGAGAACCAAATTGTTTCTGGTGGCAGGAGAAAAAACACTAGGACTAAAGGAAGAAGCATTTTATAAACCTCTATTGTTTTGTGTTATACCTGTAGAACTGGTGTCCAATTAAAGCGTCTCCTCTGTTTCCCCTCGTCAGCTCTGTTCTGCCAAAACACCCTGCTGGCCAGATCTGCTGTCATCCTTCAAAAAGAGCAGCAGCCCCACCCTCTGACTGCAAGGATCCATTCGTCGCCACCTCTCTACGGTCAGTGGTAGACAGTCAATTCTGCAGTCATACAGACTTGGAACAGGTCTACACACATATCAACCTCTGAGATTGGAATCACTTGCAAGCTCAGACAGCATGAGAGTGACTGCTAAAACGGTTCAAATTCTGAGTGGCTCTAAGGTTGGAGGAAACGCAGAATGTTGATGCACTGGTGCATTAGTAGTAGAAAAAGTTTAATTTATATTGCACTTTTTCAACAAAAAAGCAGTTCAAAGTGCTTTACTTGGATGAGAAGACAAACAAAAACAACCACAGCAAACAAAACTACACTTTAAAATGTTCCTGTTGTTCTGAATTGCTAAGTAAACTTGAAAAAGACGGCCTGAGTGGTTGGAAGGTTGATATAACAATAAGTCTTTAATGTATTTTGGTGCTAAAGCACACCACAGTTTGTAAGCTAATAGTATTTTCTAAGTTTGTTTTAGATTAGCAAAGGATAAAGCTAAATGTTTATTTTCCATGTTTGATTCTTGTCCTGGGTTGCTAAGTACTCCTCAACAGGAGTTTCTCTATGTCTTGCTCTGATATTAGTCCTTTAAATCTGAAAATGTTCAAGTGATAATAAGGATAAGTTGCCCACAATTTATAAACTAACATGAGTTTCTCTTGGTCTTCCTCATTTATTAGTCCTTTAAGTTGGTAAAGAACCTCTTGTCTACATATCATCCAGCCAGATTTGAGATAGCCGTCCAGCTAAGGTTTACACAGGGGAGTCAGTTCAGATAGAGACAGTATTCTTTAGGTCAGTTAGACTTTTTAAATGTTCATCTCCCCTAACGTCTCCCGGTACATCCCTATTGATTACAGTCATCCAAATTATTGTGGCCGTTCCCACCAGGCTAGGCTAGCAACTTCTCCAAGATCGATTCCATCCTGCTGGTGTTAGTCTGACTGTTTGGTCGTCAGCCCAATCCATCACACAGATCAGGCATCCTTGACAAGGGTTGAAACATTTGGCAAAGTCTTCCAAATTTGTTAATATGCCAGGGTATCCACCAACTCCAAGCAGCGGAAATATCAATATCAATCAATCAAATCAATCAAATTTTATTTGTATAGCACATTTCAGCAGCAAGGCATTTCAAAGTGCTTTACATCACAAAGACAAAAACACAAAGTCATGCAACATAGAATAAACAATACATTGTTACATATCACATCTGAAATAAAACTCTAAACAGGTGTGTCTTTAGTTGAGATTTAAAGGAAGTCAGGGTTTCTGCTGTTTTACAGTTTTCTGGAAGTTTGTTCCAAATTTTTGGTGCATAGATGCTGAAAGCTGCTTCTCCTCTCTTGGTTCTGGTTCTGGGGATGCAGAGCAGAACCAGAACCAGAACCTGAGAGTCTGGAAGGTTGATGCAACAACAGCAGATCTTTGATGTATTGTGGTGCTAAACCGTTCAGTGATTTATAAACTAACAACAGTATTTTAAAATCTATTATTTGAGCTACAGGGAGCCAGTGGAGGGACTTTAAAACTGCTGTTATGTCTCTATCTTCCTGGTTCTAGTGAGAACAGGAGCAGCAGCTTCTGGATCAGCTGCAGCTGGAGGATTGATTTGTTGGACAGGCCTGTGAAGACACTGTTACAATAATCAATGTGACTAAAGATAAACGCATGGATGAGTTTCTCTAGATCTGGCTGAGACATTAGTCCTCTAATCCTGGAGATGTTCTTCAGGTGATAGAAGGCCGACTTTGTAATTATCTTTATGTGGCTCTGAAGGTTCAGGTCTGAGTCCATCACTACTCGCAGGTTTTGGGCTGATATCTAGGTTTTACTTGTAATAACTGAAGCTGCGCATTGACTCTAGATCTACAGCTCTAGATCTGGGGAGCTCAAATTTTTTGAGACCAAGATCTACTTTTTCTCTCACCAGCCGGCTGAGATCTACCTCATGACATGAAGACATACAAATTATAAATTAAACCCTATTGACTAATTTTCTATGCAAATATACTATACATCAGTTATATCAGAAATGATAAAACACTAGAAAACCTAATGCAGTTTCTTCCTCAGTGAGATTCTGACACTGGCAGCAGGTTACTGGTTTCAGTCACAGGCTGGTTGTAAACCTGAGGCCAGCAGGTGTCAGTCATTTATGGTAGATCTGAAATTTGGATTGATGGAGCCATATGAGAAACTACAGACTGATAGGAGGAACCAAAGAGCTCTGCAGAGGTAAAGGCAAACCTTCTGAATTTGGGATATTATTAATGTAATTTGACATAATTATTGTGGTAGAAGCTATTTGTTTGTTAAAACTTCATCAAATATATGTGTCCTATCTGATGTTGGTTGTGACGTTTACCGTAAACAAACAAGGTAATTAGTCCAAGTTTGTCGTTTATTGAACGTTCAGAAACTCCAGAGGCTGTGATGAACCACAGCGAAGGAAAACAAAGGTAGAATAACCCGAACAACTCAGAACCACTCGCACCTTTTTATTCTCTCTCTCTTTATCATTAAGCACACCCGTTGCCGTGGCAACCGCCTGCGCCCCGCAAGCCGGGCAAAAATTACGTTAAAAACGTTCAGTCCGTTACGGTATCAAGTTTCAGGCTTTATTATTATTTAATGAAGCTACAAACGTTTTGGATCTTGGTGAATATTTTGATAAGCCTGTCAGAAGAGGAAGCGCTGCTCTCAGCGTCCTGGAGGTCTTCAGTTTGTCACCTGCTGCTGAGATTGACTCAAAACCTCCCCGCGATCGACCGGTAGATCGCGATCGACGTATTGAGCACCCCTGATCTAGATCTATAACTATAGATCTATAGCTCTAGCTCTATAGCTCTAGATCGTTTCTCTTTAGGTCCAAAAATAATGACTGAGCTGAGTATCATCTGCATAGTTATGGTTGTTAATATTATTTCCTGTTATAACCTGAGCTAGTGGGACAATATAAATATTGAATAAGAGGGGTCCTAGGATTGAACCTTGGGGTACCCCACATGTGACTTTTGACCTCTTTGATGAGAAGTTTCTAATTGAAAGAAAGAAATCCCTGTTCTTTATGTAAGATTCAAACCAGTCGAGCACCGAACCGGAGAGTCCAACCCAACTCTCCAGTCGATTCAGTAAAATGTCAAAAGCTGCACTGAGGTCCAACAGAACCAGCACTGTGGTTCTTCCACAGTCCGTATTTATATGGATATCATTGAATACTTTGACTAGGCCAGTCTCCGTGCTGTGGTGAGCACGAAAACCAGATTAGAAAGAGTCAAAGCAGTTGGTCATCATGAGGAAACTATTTAATTGTTTACACAGTTTTTTCAATAACTTTGCTGATGAATGGGAGGTCAGAGGTCGGCCTGTAATTCTGCAGTAGTGATTTGTCCAGATTGTTCTTTTTTAGCAGTGGTTTGAAACTGCTGTTTTCAAAGCCTGGGGGAAAACACCTGATGTAAGCGATGAGTTACTATTTGGATCAGATCAGTAACAATAACAGGCAGGACTTTTCTTAAAGAAATGTGTGGATAGGACATCCAGACAGCAGGAGCTTGAACTTAATTGACTTATAATTTCTTCTAGGGTTTTATAATGAAGTAGTTGAAAATGGGTCATTTTTCCTGTATTTGTTCTGTTTGGGTACAGCAGTGGTTCTGGCTTTAGAGTTGATGTGCAGATTAATCCTCTGATTCTTTGAATTTTCTCTGAAAAGAAGCTGGAAAACTTGTTCCATCAGCATTAGATTGAGTTCATGTGGTAATGTCATAGGAGGGTTTTTCACTAGATGAAGCTAGAGCGTGTTCTGTTGCTTGCCCACTGGCAAGCCTCAGAACATGAAATGAATGGTTGTGCTGACCCATCCGCTCATAGTTTGTCACCATAGCAGTTACTGCTGCTCTGCTGCTGATCTCCAAAGTGACCTAGCAGCAGTCTGTTGGCAGGAGTGATTGAAATTCCAACATGTGAACGGAATCTGACTGAAAATGAGCTGCTGTGTGAATTTTATGCTGAGCCTTAGTGAAGGTCCGAAGTTGGATAACACATGTGCTTCCTTCCTCTGTAGCGGGCTCCGACTCCAAAGCTGCGTCTCTTCACTGGACAGCGGAGCGAGTGCTGAGTATCGCCCTGCTTGCCTTGGGTCCTGTGGCGTACTTCAGCCCCGGGCCAGTCATCGATTACTCCCTGGCTGCTGCGCTCACCCTGCATGGACACTGGTAAGACTAGCCGCCACCAGACTTTACTCTGGAAAAGTTTAATAAGAATTGTTTCACAGAATTTTGCGTCGAAATGTACAATATTGAAAAAAAGATCAGAATTTGCTAATTTTCTCTGAACAGTTTCTGACTGGCGAAATACTGAAAAATCTGATTGTCAGAACTAAAAATTTCAACCATTTGAGACCTACAATCATACCCGTCAAGTGTTGAATTTTAGAATATGCGAAAATTTGGTGCTATTGTCAGAGCGAAGGAGAGGGGAGGATGGGCAGAGTAACATAGGCAGGAGGTCAGGCAGGGGGGCTGGAGGGTTAGACTAAACGCCATAATATTTACAGGAAAATAATACAGGAGCATGTCGGGGAGTGGAGTGAGGGGGGGGGGCAAAATACGGTAGTTTCCTGAGCAAAACAGGAGACTTGAAAGGTATGCTTACAATGCATCATCCAACAGCATGTACTACTTAATAGTTTATTAAAACTCTTTTAAACATTATTGAAAGGGATGCACCAATATGAAAATTTAAGCCAATATCAATATCTGATGTTGATAGTGCCATCATGGTTGATAACTGATATTTAGGAATATACAATGTTAAAAATGTTGAACACATCACAATTTTTCACAGTAAACATTTTTCTAAAGGTTCTATTGACAGGACATTTTCACCAAATATTGGTAACAACTTAATAATTTAATATTGGAGAACGTGGAAATGGCAATGAGGAACTCACACACCACAAAAACACAAAATCTTAAGTATTTTCTATAATTTTTAGTATGAATATCTAAAAACACTTGAAATAAGACAAACTAAATTACAGGTAACTTTTCAACAAGAAATAGGAGCTCTTTTTAAGTCATTAAGTCCTTAATTGTGATGGGTTAGGGTTCCATTTCTAGTTCCATTGGAAGATTATTTCACTTATAACAAGATATTTTCCCTATAAGAGAAATAATCAGCCAATGGAACTATCACTTTTTTCTCAAGATTAAGAAGGTACTGACTTAAAATAAGCTCCTGTATCTTACTGAAAGGTTACTTTTTAGTTTTGTCTTATTTCAAGTGTTCTATATTGGCACTAGAAACTACACCAAAATTACTTTCTAAGATTTTCTAAGAGGTAATGAAGAGCTAACATTTCTACCAAATAAAAGAAGTGTTGGCTGAAGAAACTGGTATTTGTGCTGCTGCTGCCACCTTCGGCTTCATAAATCGAACAGTGAATGATCCGTACTTCTGGTCAAAACGTGTAATCTGGAAAGTAGTTCTGTAAATTGCTCTGTGTCTGTTCTGGTTTTCAGTCTGGAGTCAGGTCAGTGGTCTCACATTCAGTTCCAGTGTCAGTATCAGTAGCTGCATTATCATTTGAAAGAGCTTCTAGAGCTGTCTCTCTGATGTTTCTTTCCACAACTCAACATTTGGCGTTAAAAGTTGGAAGTATGACAATGTTTTTTGACTTTCAGAAAATTAAAAGAAAATGGTATGAGAAGGTGGACATCAGTAACAAAAAAAGTTTGACATGATAAACTGAGCAGAAAGAAGAGATAAAAATGAATTATCACAAACTGATTGAGACAAAAGTTAGTGTTACAAATGCAAGATGAATCAAGCCTTTAACATATTGGAATAAAGTTTGTGCTTTTGTTATGATGCAATGTTTAAGCACACTAGAATAAAATTATTTCACTTTGAAACTGGAGGTGATTTTTAGAAAGGTATTTATGGATAAAAACTTAGCCAGACAATGAAATTGTTAGAATCATAATTTAACTCTTCATCCCCCCCCCTTGGAAGACCAAATTTTATTATATTAAAACCTAGAGATGGAATACATTTTTTGTACAATATCCACTCTAAAACATTAATGAAGTTGCAATTGCATAAAAGTGAATTGTCTCAAAATCTGTCACTAAACGCATAGGAATTTACACACAATCGTACCGTTATACCTAGGATTTCTGTCGGCTAATGTGTGGGCTTTCAGGTTTTGAAAATGGGCCGGTAATCGGCCGACAGCTTTAAGATTGTTAATGTGCGCTGGGCATCAAGAAAATGAGGAAGGAAGGGTCAGTGTAGAGCACCGGCGTTTAGCCTTTTTCATTCAGTCATCAACAGAAAGAGAAAAAGGCCAGAAGAAACGATATAGCCGATAATTGAAATGAGGTTGATAGCTTTAATTTTTTGTGCGATTAATTTATTTATTGTTTATCACGACAGGCCTAATGATGCATGTGTGATTTAGAGACGACCGTATGCTTATGGCGAGGTATTGAAATTTGCCATTTGGCCATGTCCACACGGTTCAGCCAGCAGCCAGCTTTGACAGAGTTCATAATTCAGTTAATTAAACCCATATAAATCCAAAAGTAAAAATAAAAATCAATCCAGTAGAAAGCACAGGTGACTTACTTTTGGAAGGGGGTGGGTCATCACATTGACCACGTAAATGTGATGAGGGCATGGACTTCCTATGTCCATCAGACATAGGAAGTCTGATGCAGCTCTGAGTTTGTATTTGGAAGTTATTGCCTCTAACCCTAACCCTATGGCAAATAGTCAGACTTTGACACTAAGCCACACCCACATGCTTTGATGTACAAAAAATCCTGTGATAACTTAACCTTCAGTGCCTCAGGACTATGCTGATTAATTCTGAAGTCTGTATCAAAAACTGTAGGATAAGTTCAATCAGCTTCAACATCTATAAAAAAGAGGAAATAGAGGTTTTGATTTGAAATGGCTGACTTCCTGTTGCATTTGGACCAGGGCTCCAAGAGACTTTTTTGTACGTCCTGACAAGATACACGTGTACAAAGTTTCATAATTCTGGGATAAAGCATGGCTTGGGGCTGATAATTTAAATGATTCTAGGGGGCGCTGTAAAGAAATTAGGCCATGCCCACCAAAGATTGCTGTGGATTCTTGTTTGGGGGTGGATAAGGATTCATCCCAGTGAGTTTGTTGCAGCTTGGCTCTAAACTGTGGAATTTAGAGCCAAACGTATGCCAAAGCCGTTACAAGGTCACTTCGCCACGCCCACCTGCCTTAACAAAATCCATCAGTCTTGGAAGTCCAGTCACACCAACATGTCTTCTGTCTCTTGACACAGTTTCATGTTGATTAGGTCAAAAGGTCAGATAATGATCATTCATAGTACAACATGACACTTCCTGTTCTCAGGGGTAGTGCCTTACATGATGTCATCATTTGACCATTTGGATATTGTAGGTCACCTGATGATGATCAATCACTGAAAGTTTGATACCTCTGGGAGTTTTTGTGTAAGAGATATGACAGTTTTGTGTTTCATGGCAAGTAGGCAAACTTTGACCCCAGGCTACGCCCCTTCAGCATGCACAAAAACTCAACGTTGATATTTTCTTAGTTCATTTATCCCTTGGGCCAGCTCTAAATTTTATCAGCATTACATTATGTTTTTAGATCAAACTGATGACTTAATTTGGATTTAACAGAAGGGCAAATAATTTCTCTTTATTTAAATTAGTACTCTAAGTACAGAATTATAGTCTTCCGGTAACATAATTACCCAGCAATTTTTTGCCATTCCTGTCAACTTCAGAATATAAAATCACACACAGTGGACCACCTCAGTGCCCCGACCACCAGGCTGAGCAGGGTTACTGGAGGAAACCCTGCTTTGTGCCATTGTATAGCATAATTAAATAACTGTTATAAAAGTGCTCTAATGCCAAATATGACTAAATAAACTTGACGCCTTGAAATTGGGCATTGAGTGAGGGAGTCAGGAGGAGGGGAACTATAAGGAGAAGCTGGACCTCAAAGGCGGAGCCAGGTCTTCCCAGGCATTTTGCACAGCTGAGTGGTTGCCATGAAGACTGAAAGATTTCTCAAACATGCATGAAAGAATCAAGGCGACGCTCTATTTATGTTGCCTGGAGACTTGGCATCATACCTGTACTGTATGTCATCAACACTGCAGGTGTGTTTGTATGTTGCTTATCATGAATCCCTGAGACTTGTCATGAAATCCAGGCTCGGCAGTGCGAGTGAGATGTTTTGTAATGCACATGTCAGAACATTTCAGGGTCTCATTAGATATTTGATATGCATGTTTGTGTCATTTGTGCAGCTCCATGAATAGTCTTATTGTAATGTTTTCATATCCCTCCGTCAGTGCGCAAAGACACCAGTCTGCTCTATCGAAACATAAATCCAAGTCTTATAAGATTTTATTGTTACTTTTATTTTTGTATGTGTTGTAGTGTATCATGTCGTTGTGGACCACGAGTCTTGAAATAAAGCAATCAAGTCATCTCTCTTAGTTTCTGCCATAAGGCCTATCAGCTGCTATTGGTAGTTCAGCAACACATCAGAACCTTCAGTTTGTTCATTCAAAGGTTGTCTGGGATTAACTGGTCTTCCAGTGGGTGCTTGTGTCTGAGTTCAGCTGGTCTTTACATTGCAGGGGCCTGGGTCAGGTGTTAACGGATTATATCCATGGGGACACAAAAGTCAAGCTCGCCAGTGCAGGCCTCTTTGTCTTGTCCACGGTCACCTTCGCCGGACTCTGCTACTTCAACTACAATGACGTGGGCATCTGCAATGCCGTCGCTCTGCTCTGGAGCAAATGAAAGGGATTTTGGACTGGTGAGCTCAGAGGGAACCAACGCTTTGGGAGAAATCTTGTCCCAGCTAATTGTAACAAAGTAATAATAATAATAATAAGTCAACATGTTCTTTATAAATTCTGTCATTTTGCATTTACTAAGGATGTGTTTCTAATGGATGCCAATGTGTTCCAGCTTGTTTTTTTCCACTGAGTTGGGCTGCAAGCGCTTACTTTGGAGATTCAAGCATTTTCATCCACAGTTATGGTTACGATCAAGTGCTGGAGAATACAGAAGTTTAACATCTTCCGTAATGTTTTTTTTTAAATATATATATATCAGTCACACACTCTGACACTGACACAGCAGCCCATGCTGCAGCTCTAATTCAGCTTTGGAAGTTTTTCACAAGCCATATTAAAGTGTATTCATGTTTCATTCAGAATAGTCTGGTTCCCTTTACAGCATTCCTAGAAATTGAAGACTGCATCCTGAATTTAGGATGCAATATGTTTGAAGCTATGCAGCAATGCGTATCTGGATATGAAGTTGCAAAATTAACTTCTGATTATACTGTAGTTCTGTACAATACATAAAACAACCAGAAAGCTTGGATAATTGGATAATGTTTTTTTTTTTTCTGTTGGTGTGTTCACATCCTGCATGCAGCTTAGATTCCACGGTTTAAGGGGAGTGTCAAGAAAAGCTCTGCTTTCTCTGTCTACACAATACTTATGCAATAAAACTACTGGTACACATCTGGTTTGGGACTGGGTTTTTTATTGAGAAAATAGTAAAAATCTATGTATGTAATTCATGGCAGAAGTAAAATGCTTTAAGTGGTTAAAAGACAAGAAGTCAGGATAAATGTGAGGATGAAAACTTCTGTATAAAACTGGGAATGACTTCTCGAAAAGCCCTTCACTTAAACTAAATGTGCCCGGCAAACCAAAATTGTGCAATAATTTCAATGGACATTACTGATGACACAGAAATGATCAACAAAACAAAATGTCTACTTGAAAAGGCAGCTGCCATAAATAAGGTTTAGTGGAGTGAGTCAGAATCTGGATGACTCACTCCATTGTTTCCATTTTTGTCACAGAAACAATAATTACTCTCCCAAGATCCTACTCTCTGTGTGACTCAGATTCCCAATTTATGACTTCTGTTTTTTTTCTCCATAATTACCAATTGAAAGAAGTGGAGGGAGAAGCATCAAACAAATCCACCCGTGGACCACTTTATTAGTTTCATACTGTTTAGCTGTATGGCAAGCTGTTTGTGACAGACTTAGACTTAGACTTCCTTTATTGTCATTGTACAAAAAAAACACAAGGTGAATCTTGACAACGAAATGTCGTTACTTGGCTACCAGTGTAGCAGAGCTAAAACCTTATACTACCCAATAAATAAATAAATACAATACAAGTGCCATAGAATACACAGGTTCAGTGTTGTGAACAAAACTAAAGTGCATGTATTGACCATGTCCATGGGGGGGTCATTTGGTTTGTGAGTGTGTGGAGGGATGTTATGTGGCGTTAAGCAGTCTGATGGCCCGGGGGAAGAAACTGTTCAGTAGTCTGAATGTTCTGCACAAGATGCTGCGGAACCTTCTTCCAGACGGCAGGGGGGAAAACAGTCCATGGTTGGGGTGGGTGGGGTCGGAGAGGATCTGGTGAGCGCGGGATAGGCAGCGCCTCTCTGCGATGTCCTTGATGCAGGGGAGCAGAGCCCCCGTGATCTTCTCCCCTGTCCTCACCACCCTCTGTAGAGACTTCCAGTCAGAGGCCCTGCAGCTCCCAGACCAGATGGAGATGTAGCTGGTCAGTTGGCTCTTGATGGTCCCTCTGTAGAAGGTCTGAAGGATGGGGGGCGGGAGGGATGCTCTCTTCATCCGACGCAGGAAGTGCATGCGCTGCTGGCCCTTCTTCACCAGTGAGGAGATGTGGGGAGACCAGCTGAGGTTGTCGTTGATGTGCACCCCCAGGAACTTGGTGCTGCTGACGACCTCCACTGCTGAGTCGTTGATGAGGAGTGGTGTGTGGGTGGGTCTGGATTTCCTGAAGTCTAAGATGATCTCCTTGGTCTTGTTGACATTCAGGATCAGGTTGTTTCCTCTGCACCAGTCCACCAGAAGACTGAGCTTCAACAGTAATACAGGAGATGTAAATAACCAAATATGGATGGTTTTGACCTTTGGGGATAGACTGGACAGAGTATTTCAGAATCTGCTGACATCATCACACACACAAGCACTTCTCAGGTTTACAAAGCATGTGTAACATAGTTAATGTATAGAATTCCACTTGTCATTAGTTTGGGTTCAGGTGTAATGGGTGAAACAGCACCCCCTCCTGGTGGTTGTTAAATATAGTGAACACAGACACCTGGTTGCCAGTTCATGAGAGATGATGTAGGTTCACTGAGAACATTGTAACGGTCCTGTAAAATGTTCTGTTAATTTGTTGCTAACATAAAATACTATTCCTTGTAAGGTGCTGTATTGCCTGTGATGAACCTGGTCCCTGATTATTTTATATTTTGTTTCATACAGATAAACCCAGTCTTGTATAGTAACAAATTAAAAATACTTCACTACTTTACTTAAGTATATTTTGGAGTACTTCATATGAAAATTTTTGATAACTTTCACTTTTACTTCATTACATTTCCAAACTTAATTTCATACTTTTACTCCGATACATTTTCAATGTGTGGTTTAGTTACTCGTTACAAAAAAGCAAGAGAGAAACGCAAATGTTTTGATCCCACCTACTGATTGACTGAAACAAAGCCTGCTTGCCTGGGCTTGTTCATCACCACCAATAGGATGCACAGGTTTCACCTCCCCACCTGCGTCAAAAAGTCCAGCAAACAGTCTGATTGGTCAGTGCTCCGTTCGTGTAGGTTTTGCCGTTAAAATGTTTGTTTGTGCAGCTTTGGTTTCCGAGATATTAAAATGATTTTTTAGGTCATCCAGAGTTCAACATCCCCGCATTTTGCTCCAAATCAAACCAAAGTGGGCTGGTTCGTTAATGCTCCGTTTGTGCAGGTTTGTGCCGTTAAAACAAACGCAGCAAAGTTGTTTTCAATTTGGATTTTGACTGTTCCAATATCCGGTGTGAGCGGCGTCTAGCTCGAGGTTGATCCGATTTATGAACGCTATTTTCGGCCAGCCGGTCTCTGGTCTCCCCCTTCCTCAAGGTGTCGGAGTTTCACTCAGGGAGAGTCAACAAATTTTACATCCAAACTCTCCAGAGAAACTAATTGAAATAGATTTCTTGCCTTGTGACCAACTGACAAGAAAATTCATGCTGTTACACGAGACACACTGTTCTCTAGTGAATTTTTAGTCATACTCAATATTTTCAGTAATTGTAATCTTAAAAAGTATATATTTTGGATGGCCTAAAAAATCATTTTTAATATCTTTTTAATAACCAAAGCTGCACAAACAGAGCACTAACCAATCAGAGTATTTGCTGGATTATTTGAGTAGGTGGGTGTCAGCTTCATGGAGGTCTGTTTCGCTTCTCCCATTAAACACCAAGTTAACTAAAAGCTCTCCCTCTTCAGATGTCAAATAAGCTGCATTTCCCTCCAATTCTTTTTTTCTTTGCATAATGACCAGTTGTGTTCACCTATAGTTTATGAAGTAGAGGAATCGTAACGGGGTTTTTTCTTCATGTTGGCCGCATTTTCTGTACTGACTATTTATTTTTCTCATTTTCAGCACTGACCTTATTGAAAGGAAAAACGTAAGGCTTACAAAAACGTTGTATTTTCTGTCTTGGAGGGTTTACTAAGAAGCTGGTTCAGTTGTAAAGCAGGTTAAGTTAACCTAAAGCAGGTTAAGTTAACCTTGTGGTTTAGGTAAAGCACCTAATTTTCTTAACTAAATGATGCCTGCAGGTTTATCTATTAGCAGGTTTGATTTTGCCTGCACTTGGTTGTGTACATTATTTTAAGTGTATTTGACAAGTTTACCAAAATATAAAAAATGTCATTCAAACTGCCTTTCAATCTGGAGAGACTCACACAGAGAAGAGAATAGCAGTTAGAGATTTAATGATACAGAATCTTTGGCGCTCGGCCCCGGCTGAAGACTGAGTCGTGGATCACCGCGGGCAGGACATCAGCTCGGCCGAGCTCGGACAGTTTTCCCCGGGGCCGAAAACCGGTGGTGGAGCTGGGTGCAGAAGGATCCTGGAAACATCCATCAGAACGGAGGTGGAGAAGAGGGGAGGAGGTGGGTTATGCGCACTGACAAGCGGGTCGACCCTCTGATGGATTGGCTTTTGAAGACAGTCCTGGATGATGATAGGCTCGAAGCGGAGAATTGCTCCAGGACGTGGCGATTGCGAGATGAATGTCAGCTGGATCGAGTCTCCCAGGTTGAATTTTCGCCTAAGCTCCATTTGCCTTGTTTTACTTTTTACTTGTACTTTTAATTTCATTACTTGAGTACATCCATTTTTACAGTAATTTCCATACTTAAGTACAAGACATTTCAGATACTTTAAGACTTTAACTCAAGTAACATTTCAATCAGTGACTTTTACTTTTACCAAAGTCATATTTTGGAGCGGTACCTATACTTTTTCTTGACTCTGAGATTTCAGTACTTTATACAACACTGTAAACCACATTTTGTCTCATCTTGTCTCCTGGTTCCGTATTCACACAACGCAGAACTGATGATAAGCCATTATAATTAAAAAGGTTACACATGGACAGGAAAAGAAGCTGATGTCAGAGAAGAACACAAAGCTTGTTGACAAGAAGGAGCTCAAATAACTCCTCGTTCCAGTTGTAATGCTTGGGTTGTGTTTAAGGGAAGAGAGGAGGCGGCAGACTCATCAGGACGGTCAAACACCACCACACTGGTATTGGGAATTTCACAGTGTTGTCCTTTAATAAACTCTCTTCACCAACCTGACGAAGCCCGTTGAACGGCAGCTATATTACCAAACATGAAAAGAAGCAGAGTTCAAACAACCGGTAGCGTTACTAAGAGTTAGGAAGCTAACATGTCCAGCGGCTGTAGCATATTTTTCCCTCGTTCTCTACAGAGAAGCAGTGTCGCATACTTGTGACATCATTAGCAATACTACAGTATCTTAAAGAGACACTACACAATTACCGCTGTTACACAGTCATAAATGTGATACAAGAATACAGACTTCAATTGAGCCAAAATGAGAAATAGTTTGCATGCTATCCTTGTGCATGTGTGTGTTCTCTCTTGGTACTCCACAGTAAAAAAAAAACATGACTGACAGGTTAATTGATCTCTCTAAGTGTTCCATAGGTGTGTGTGTGCACACACATACACACACATATGGAGTCTGTGTTATCCTGTGATGGATTGGCGACCTTTCCAGGGGGACTCTGCCTTTTGCCTGTTGGCCGTTGGAGACAGATACTGGTATCCCTCACAATTTGATGGATGGACAAATAGAACACAGGTGAATGTAGAGAGTATTCCATGTTTCTGTAACATGTTTTAAAAATGTGCTATTGTGACCTGTCACAGAGCCACCAATAAAGTCACATGTGACTCAGGATTTTCCCTGAGCTGGATGCTTTCTTTCACTCATGACCTTTTACCTTTACAATCCTTCCAGGTACTACAGCTGAGAAACATCCCAACAGTATGATGCTGCCATCACTATGCTTCATTCTTCACCATGGGGATGGTGTGTTTATGGTGATGTGCAGTGTTTGCCTGACCAGACCAAAAACCTTTCTTCTTCTTCAAAGTTTGATCATTTTAGCATGTTTTTTAATTAATATGTTAATACCCGTTACATATGCTCCCATTACTAATGCAGAGAAAAAGCTTTTTTTGTTGTTTGTTTGTTTTGTTTTAATTGGGGAAAGGTTGGGTAATTGTGGGTCTAAAGATTATGTTTCATAGGTGGGGATTTTAATTGTACTGAAAATGAGTTTTTAGACCATAATTGTGCAGAGCTGCGTCCGGCGGCCCGACATGCTCTGCGGGATCTGGTCTGGTCTCATGGCCTGGTGGACGTATGGAGAAAGATGCACGCAGGCTCCAGGCAGTACACATGGTCCCACATTAAGGGAAACCGAATCTCTTTAGCTCATCTTGATTGTTTCTATTGTTTTAAACACCATTTTAACATTTTTGAAACATGTCAGATTTCAACAGTGACTTTTACAGATCACGCTGCTTTTAGATATTTTTTTTTTAGAAACATTTGACCTTGAAGCGCATACTGACATTTTAATTCAGCTTTAACTTATGATTAGGGTTTCAACAAGATTTTAAGTTATTTTGGGACTGGTTTTAGACAGAGGAAATCAGATTTGATCTGTCTGAGACAGTGGTGGACCATGGGAAAGTTAAAATAAAACTGCTGAGTCAGCAGCACAATGTCACCTGTGACATTGACCAATGGTCTCATCAGCTGTGTGTCACTGGTCTTAGCCGATGCTGCAGATGGACGAGCCGGATGTGGGGATCTTGTGGGATCTTGGATCTTGAAATGGTTACAAGTGGCGACGAGGATGAGGTCGATTTGCAGTAATGCCAGCCAGTTGGAACTTAATTCTTAAACAGCCTATTGTCGATAGTGGACATTGATACCCACTGGATATGCCCCGCCCATGCGCTGAGTAAAAACAACTCACTGAGTAATGCTCACTGAGAAGCAAGTATTACTTTTGTATAATAAAATGTCAGCAAATGCTCCTTTGCAGCTGTTAACTCCACATGGCAACAATATTTGACATGGGGCGTTGATGTTTTTGTTCAGTATACAACAATGATTGTTGTTCAGCGGCCTCCAGAGTCTTCGGAGCAACAGGAGATTAACATCATGGATGTTCTGGTGCCAAAGTGACTTATTCCGTCACGTTAATGTGGACCAAATTCTGACAAAGGGTTTTGACATACGGAAGCGCATTGCTGTCACGTAGGGAAAAAAAATAGAGCGGTATCACGTTATGACGTGATACGAATTTCGTAAAAACGTGATTATTTTATGTCCAGGAAGTGGCGGTTTTTTGCTCGGCTACTACAGTGGCTAACAGGATTTGGTCGAGTTTCCCTTCATGTTTGGTCTAAAACATGCACTGTGGTTGAAACCTTTAATCGCATGCGCACTGTGAACAGGATAACAAACAGAACGGGACTGAACAGAAGGAAACGTCAGTCCGCTCCTCTGGCTGTGAGCTCGTTAGTAACTCTAGATCAAAGCTGAAGTTGGCCTCCGATTGTAGTTTCTGATTCGTGAAATGGCTAAACTGCAATTACAACAGAGGCTCAGATGTATTTGCACAACATTTTCTGTCCAGATTTTTATTGTACAATAACAATAGCTGAATAACTGCAACGTCTGGTCGTAACCTAGCAACCGAAATCAACAGAAGGCAAGACAGTGGCAAAAGACAAAACTAGATCCGGTTGAGTATTCTTCAAAATAAAAGACTTCCTGTCACCTAAGTAAGTCCATAACAGGCTGGTGTCTAATTCGGCTCGTTTGCCGGTAACAAGCTCATAGGTTCTGCTCTGCTGGTGGTAAAACAAGGAGGAGGCAGACGGAAGCTTTGTAGAACTTTATTCCACTTGGCTAGGTGAAGAACAACTGCACAGATTGAGTCTCTAAGCTGACACGCCGTTCTTCTTCTTCTCCTCCCGCCCCTCACCGTTGCTCTCTCTACTGCCCCCCAGTGACAGGCTGGGCCTGTAACACTCCTCTCTCCAAAACAAATCATGCTTTGAATTGAATTATTTTTCATGTCACCTTTTTGTAATTATGTGCAACCAAGTAAAATTTTGTGAATAATAATAATTATGTAAATTATGCTCAACATATATTACAATAAATACGTAATTAATTATGTAAATTATACTTAACTTTTAAGTTTGAAGAAATCATCTGTCCTGCTTTAAAAACAAACATACATCAACTCTTCAAATCTGGACTAGATTATTTTACGCCAATAGCAGAATATTTCAAACCTAGTTTGTGATTTGGGAAATCTTTATTTGAAGCTCAAGTAATGAGATTTAAAAACCTTTTTGTATCTGGAATGTATTAGAAATGAACTCCTGTCACATTTGCTCTATTTGCTATTATTTTAATCTTCTGTTGTCTTTAATTTCTTTTCCAAGACCACCTGCCTTTCTGTTTGGCTGTTGTGGTTTACAGGGATGCATCAGCTGAGATAATAATGCCGACAATTTTTCAGATTCAGATTTGTCATCATGCAACATAGCATTAGTCATAAATAATCTACTCCAGGTCGGAATGTATGTTAGCTTTTTTAGATTAGAGATGCTACCCCTTTCATTAATTGGTTGCATCAGTAGTAAAATATGACAATATTTTAGAAAACAAGTCATCAGTAGGACAAGAGAAAACATAAGCATACAAAAGCAAGAACAAAATAGTGAACATTTATTTCATCCTGCCCTTCATCTAAATATAAATACATCACTTATAGACTCAGTAATTATCAGTAATGAGTAATTTAAAACATGGTATTCGTATTCTGATTAAATTTACTCTGAAAGAACCAACAAATGGATTTTGTTGGTTCTTAAGAACAACATTTTTACAAAATTACTCATGAGATAATAAGCATATTTATTAATTCATAATAATTACAATTATAAATAACAACCGGTCATACAGTATCAGAATAATTACTATAATTACTAACTTCTTTTCTATGTATACTAAACAATATACATACATAAACTTTGTTGTTTTTTGATTTGTTTGTGATATAACTAATGATCATAGCAATGACAACAACATAATAATCTACGAATAATGTTAACATTAGCAGAAGAAAGAAAAAGCTCACTATCCATTTAATAAAGTGGCTAGTGAATGTTGCATTTTCCCAAGAGAAATAGTTATGGACTGCATTTATTTACACAAAGAATCCTAGACTCATCCACTTCATCCATGGATTCTTGACGCAGAATTAGTTTATGCAGGCAAGGCATGTCCTCCACATGCTCGAATGCCAGGAAGTAACCTGGGTACTTGGTGGATTCAAACATGTATTTGCCAGTGGAGATGCGTTTCCACCGGAACAGAGCCTTGTGTTCTGCTGCTTCAATCCGGACTTCACAATCCTAGCAGAGACAGAAGTAGAAAAACTGGTTAGGGTTAATTTTGTTACGTTGCTGAGTAACAGTGAAGGTGTTTGTCTTATTTTGAATCACTCTGCCATTATTTTTTCATCCACAGTGAAATGATTAGCTGCACCCCTTCGCACACAGTTTCATTTCACATGTAAGAAAGGCCTCACCATGGGCTCTGGGCACACTTCCTTGTTATTTTTGCAGGATAACATAATTTTTTCATCATCAGCACAGACGTACAGCATGACTGCCTGATTTTTGTTAGTGCCCGAGTCCTGATATATCTGGATTTCAAATTTGCAATCTGAAAGAAAAAACAAACAAAAAAAAAAAAGTATATAAATAAGTTATGCTTCTACCTAGGGATGCACTGTCCCACTTTTTTCACTTACAGATATCTGAGGTTTAACATCAGCTGATGCAAATCTGATACATAAACAGTGCTGAACTTACTTAAAAAGTCTCTCTCTTTTTTTTTAAACAGACATAAATAAATAATAAATAAATGACAAAAACAATAGTTGGATTACCTTGGTCAAACATGTAAATTTAAACAGTTACAAATCTTTCAAATGGTTCAGAAAGTGAAGTTAGGAATTCTAAATATAATGTAAAATAAATCAACCACAACGTCATACAGAGCACAAAGCACAGAATTAGGCTGAATAGATCTGCCATTTTGGACAAACTGTCATTGATACCCGATCTATAATACTTTTCAATACTAGACTAATACTGGAGTAAGGCCCTGAAGGACTCTGAAGGTATGGTCCCTGTGGAGCATTTCCCCTTCCATTAATGTTGGATGGGGAGCACCTCTACTGTTGCTTCTTAATAAAGTATTTCTTATCTAATCTAGTGTTATGTTTTGGAATGCTACTGGGAAATAAATTGACTAATAATTCCCTCACAGGATCACAAACTGCCACAGTCTGATAAACCTTTGGTTGAGTAAGATCTCTGATTCACTGTACATGATATTTATTACAATATTTTTTTCCAAGACATGTATCACATTATAACAGCACTCAAACAATTTTTTTTCTGAGTGAAAGTAATGCGTTTCCATACTACTACATAGCCTTGAATCTACATTACAAATAAATAAGTCAGTTCTGAAAGGACAAAATGATGGCGAGCTTCTAACAGCTGGCTGGTACTGGTCTGGTAAGAGTACTGGTCTGGTAGGAGGCTGATAGTCTGCAGTATTTCCTCCTCCATCTCACCATATAGACACACAATCCATTATTCATCTCTTTTTCATTTCAAAGAAATTGCGCTTGGATATTTTCACCTAATATCTGGACAATCAAACCATGGACTTTTCAAATTTGTGTCAGTCATTCACTGTGCTGACTGGTGGGAAAATTTAGGACTTTTTTGCACATTTATATGGAAGATTTACTGCAGTACTGTATATATATATATATATATATATATATATATATATATATATATATATATATATATATATATATATATATATTGTATTAATTTTTTGGGTTCTATGTATGTTTTGTGTCTTGTGGTGTTTGCTTTAATTTTACCTTCTTTAAGGTAAAATGAGAGCAAAACATATTTTTGCTTTAATACATGGTATTGAAAGCAGTGAGGTACTGTGTGACTTTTAGTAGGCCATTCAAGATCAAAAATACTCCAGATTGGCTCAATGAAAGCACTTCTGCAAAGATCTCTGCCAAAAGCAGAGGAGTTGCGTCGTCTCTTACCAGGCTGTCCTCGATCATGGACTGTCCTGTCCTCGAATTCAAATTTCCCCGAAGTTCTCAAAACAAGAAACTTTTGGTCTTTGCTTTGGATCCACCTTGATATTGGAGGCTCACATCTCCTGAAATTATCTGAATGAAGCTCTGCATTTCATAGAAAACAAGTTACAACCATTTCTACTGCATCTTTGCGACATACAGGTAAATAAATATGAAACAAGCTCATATATAAACTCATATAAGCTACCTGTTTCACATGAAGCAGAACTGGTCCCTGTGCAAAGGTATTGAAAAACATAAGTGCTGTTTTTTTATTCAACAGTATCAAAACCAAACAATTTAAATATTAGAAAAGTATGTAATTTCCTACCTTTAAAGTAAAATGAATTGTTAAGTGTTTGGATGAACTTCAGATGAGAGTCTTCACAGGTAGCCATAAATGGATGTCTAGAGAAGAAAAACATAAAACATAAACTGCAATATGTTTCCATAAGGTACCACGTAATGTGATCTGAGCCATCTCTAACAAATAAGTGAAAACAATCTGGGCATTATTGCCCTATGATTTAAAATCCTTTAAATGAGATGCTAGAAAAAATGCCTGACAGACTAACAATCTCACGATATAACTATCAGTGCCTTCCCCAACCTGCTGTTCATCTATATCGTCCTCTCCAGGAGCCCTGAATAGACCTTACCAGAGAATCTTAAGAGTGTGACCCCTCAACGAGAGAACACCCTCCAGTCTTCCTCTTTGAACAGGGGTAGCACCACCCCAGTCTGCCAATCCAGCAGAACTGGATTGGCAGACTCTGCAGTATCGCATGGACATTGGAGGCGGTTCCCCTGGATTGGCAGACTGGGGTGGTGGTCTCCCTGTTTAAAAAGAGAGACCGGAGGGTGTGCTCCAATTATAGAGGGATCACACTCTTAACCCTCCCTGGCAAGGTCTATTCAGGGGTCCTGGAGAGGAGGGTATGTCGGATAGTTGAACCTCGGATTCTGGAAGAGCAGTTTGGTTTTCGTCCTGGTCGTGGAACACTGGACCAGCTCTACACCCTCAGCAGGGTCCTGGAGGGTGCATGGGAGTTCACCCAACTAGTCGACATGTGTTTTGTGGTCTTGGAGAAGGAGCTCGACCATGTCCCTCGGGGAGCCCTGTGGGGGGTTCTGAAGGAGTATGGGGTACCGGGCCTTTTGATACGGGCTTTCAGGTCCCTGTATGACCGGTGTCAGAGTCTAGTCCGCATTGCCGGCAATAAGTCAGGCTCATTTGCGGTGAGGGTTGGACTCTGCCAGTGCTGCCCTTTGTCACCGATTCTGTCCGTTACTTTTATGGACAGAATTTCTAGGCGCAGCCAGGGTGTTGAGGGGATCTATTTTGGTGGTGTCAGGATTCCATCTCTGCTTTTTGTGGATGATGTGGTCCTATTTGCTTCATCGGGACATGATCTGGAGCTCTTGCTGGAGCGGTTCACAGCTGAGTGTGAAGCGGCTGGGATGGGGATCAGTGCCTCCAAGTCTGAGACCATGGTCTTGAGCCGGAAAAGGGTAGAGTGCCTTCTCCGGGTCGAGGGGATTGTCCTGCCCCAAGTGGAGGAGTTCAAGTATCTTGAGATCTTTTTCACAAATGAGGGAAAAAGGGAGAGCAAGATCGACAGGCGGATTGGCGCAGACTCTGCAGTGAAGTGGGCGCTGTACTGGTCCGTCGTGGGGAAGAGAGAGCTGAGTCAAAAAGCGAAGCTCTCGATTTACCGGTCAATCTACGTTCCAACCCTCATCTATGGTCTTGAGCTTTGGGTTATGACAGAAAGAACGAGATTTTGGATATAAGGGGCCGAAATGGGTTTCCTCCATAGGGTGGCTGGGCTCTCCTTAGAGCAGGTGTGTCAAACTCATTTTCGTTTTGGGCCAAATAAAGATCATGAAGGCTCTTAAAGGGCCGGTTGTGCCAGAATGTGTTGATAAAACCTGTTCACAAACTGTTAATGTCAATGAATACTTAAAATTACTTAATATTTTTGAACATCTTTTCATAATGATAAATGTGTCTGTTTATTTACTCGCTGTATAAATCATGGACTATAATCCTACATCAACTAAATTCTCAGGAAACTGGAGGGATTGATTGATATAAATTGGCAGTAAACAGATAAAAACTGCATAGATATGATTGATAATATAATATTTAATCACACTTAGTGTTTAGTCTACACTGTAGAGGGCCACATAAAAACATACAGCGGACCGGATTTTGCCCCCGGGCCTTGAGTTTGACACATGTGCCTTAGAGATAGGGTGAGAAGCTCGGTCATCCGGGAGGGACTCAGAGTAGAGCTGCTGCTCCTCCACATCGACAAGAGGAACCAGTTGAGGTGGCTCGGGCATCTGGTCAGGATGCCTCCTGGACGCCGCCCTGGTGAGGTGTTTCGGGCACGTCCCACCGGGAGGAGGCCCCGGGGAAGACCCAGGACACGCTGGAGGGACTATGTCTCCTGGCTGGCCTGGGAACGCCTTGGGATTCACCCAGAGGAGCTGGAACAAGTGGCTGGGGGGAGGGAAGTCTGGGCCTCCCTTCAGAAGCTGCTACCCCCGCAACCCGACCCCAGACAGACAGTATAACATGAGATATATAATCTGTACTGGTAGCACTACAATCTGCATTACAAAATGCACCACTTTACCAGAAGCAACCAATCAGAGCCAGGGATGTAGTCTTAATGCAGCCAATAATAATCAATAATCAATAATTGATTCTTACAATGCATTGTTTTAGACATACCCTTCAGTTTTCCAGCTCCTTCACTCCTGCCATGCTTTTTGTAGTGTGATTCACTGTCTGAACATTCAACACCTTGTTATCCGTCCCTGCTCAGTCTGCTGACCGTGCTCGGAAGACACAGCGGAGAATTTCCTCCAGGGCCGAAGTGAAGCCTTACTTCGGGGTCAACTCCCTCATACGCCTCGAACATGAACCACGCGGGGGACGGGAGTGCTTGGAAGTCAGTTTTTTAATAGAGCCAGTTAACATTGAGAACCGCACACACTTCCGTGAGCCGCTGCTCCAGTCGTCGTCTTTTTTTCTCACTCACCCCGGCTCTCTCTCTCTCGCCCCCTCCGAGGGATGCCAGTTTTAGCACCCAGCGCCCCCTTCTGACCGGAGCACGGCTGCCACACATCGCTCACCCACACAACATGACTGACTGAGCTATTATCACATTCAGTGGAGGCACTTTCCGCAACAACCTCAAAACAAATAAACAACACAATAAATCCGGCCTAATGTAGCAGAACTACTCTAATATCATTCGATCATGAGTGATTTCTTTATTGCACACATGGCATAAAATAAATGCTTTACCCACAATTAGCAGGAAAAGATCTGGGCTGATTGCTGAATTGGACAAAGCAGCTTTACGTTAACTACCTGTAGAAACATGTAGAAAACACACACACACACACACACACACACACACACACAGCACACACACACACAGCATAAGCTTATTGTTTAACCTGTTATAGCCACACCCCTGTTGGCTTCTATCTATCAACAGTCAAAAAGCTTCATGGGGAAAGTAAATACCTCAGCTTTAAAAGATGTTCTCCGTGGCAGTGGTGCAACTCAACACTGACAATGAAGCAAAAACTGCAACTCTCCGCCTTTTAGACGTGTTGAAATGTTAAAAAGAAACTTGTGGTTCTCCTGTGTCGCTCCGTGTCGCCGCTTCTTCCTCAACCCAGTCTGGACTGATTCGCTCTCTTCTGCCTCGCTCTCACACTGCCGCGTCAATTCTGACGTGAGGCGCCTGCTCTTCCCGGTCCAGGCGGAAGTGAAAGCGGACGGAGTTAAGATAGTTTAAACAAAAATAATTGCGCTTCCTTTTTCTGCTATGTGCAATACTCTGGCCTAGGGTTATGATTTTTTTCTCTTTTATGCATAAAACAGGAACTATTTAATTTTTTTTCTTTTGTAACTTAACTTTAAGGGTTCACTTATCTTTACCTACTTTCAGAAATGAATATAAGAGATGCACACCATGTTGGGATTCCCTAATAAGTGGTATAGATTACTTTGTTTTTCTCTCTTTTTTTGCAAAAACAATAGTGCAATCATTCATACACCAGAGTACCCAAAAATGCATTCCAATCAGTAGTATAAATTCAACATGTTAAGTAGAAATAGGTCAAGCTTTAAATAAGCACGTGTAAAATGTACCTGGTTCTTTCATTTTGTCAAGTATGAAGTAACTGCACATAATACATGATTCAATTGTTTAAATTCATATCAACAGACAGCCAAAAGTAAGTTCTGTGCAATTTTTGATACTTTAAGGGAATATCTTTATACAAATAAGGAGTTGAGTTCAGAGGCTGCTTCCAAATTCACCATTGGGACTAGAGTAGTCAGTGTTTTTTCATAGGCAACAATTTAAAAAAGAATTAAACAAAAAACAGGGCAATATTTTATGACTTATGCCCCTTTTCCACCGCCTTGGCACATCTTGGCTCACTTTCCGAGATTTTTTTTGGAGCTGGCCCTGCTACCCTGGTTTTGTTGGTGATGCAAGTGTAACTGGGTCTACATTATATATTTCCACAAAATGTTTTCTTTAATGTATTTGTCCGTTTCCACCTGACTGTTCTTGTGTTCCTCTGTATCTGCTATGGGGGTTTTCTTCCTCCAGCTCCGACCACCACACACACACACAACACAGAAGTTCACCGGTCACACAAGCTTAGCGAAGGAAAACTAAGGCGCAATGTTTCAAACTCGCTGCAACACGGAAGTGACAAAAGATACAGACAAGCAGTGAAGATGCCGGTTTTTCTTTGTGTCGGATTTCAATATTCAGCTGCAGCTCAATGGAGCAGTGAGGAATGAGTCGTTTTTGTCAACGTTGCGGAGAGAATGAAAAGCCACTTGGAGCCCCACGGTGAACACAGACTCAGATAGGGTTAGACAGCATTCTTTCCACCTCAAATTTTCTTGAAGTCTCAGAAAAATCACAATCAGGCTATAAAAAAAGTTAGGAGGCATAGTAAAGAAGCACAAATATAGCGCCTCACCTCCAGGCGGGGTGCTATTTTTTCCAGAACATGGATAGAATCCCCACTGTTTTCCAATGCTATAAAAATGTATAGAATAAATATTAAATTTCTACATTTTTGTCAACAAAGATTTGCGTCATAGCCTGTCACACGTTTCTTTCAGCTGGGGACAAACCTACGCATTTTCCCCCATGTTGAATGCTCGCATATGTCCCATGTTAAATTCTCCCATAGGCAAACATTTTCTCATTTAATCTTAATAATATTTCTGTAGCTATGAAAATAACCTGGATAAATCCAGCTAATGAGTTAAAAAAAAAAGACTTGAAGTTTTATGGTCGAAACACTTTTTTCCTATTTTGTCCTTGGATAAATAAATTGAAATGGTGGAAACTGAACTCTCCAGTAACGAAGGTGACGATGACAGAGATGCTGAGATCATCTCACCTACAGCTGTCAGCGACGACGGGGCGACGCCACAAAGCCGCGGCCTCAAACACATGAGTCCATCAGGTGAAGACTCAGGATTTCCTCATGATTTTCTGTACAAGGCAGTTCTTGTAAAACAAACCTTCTACTGATTTGACCTGTTTGGGATTTAAGTGGTTTCTTAAATATTGCTTTCATGCTTCAGGTGGAGACCTGATCATGATTTTGAGGCTGCAAATTCAGTTGAGCCTGAACTGAAGAGAGGAGATGTGGTTCTGGTGGTGCCTACTGCTTCAGTGGAAGATCAAGTAAGAGCAACAGGAGCTGCAAGAAAACAAGCAGTAAGAAATATTCAAACATTCATCTGATTATGAGATTTGTGTTACAGGAAGCAGGCTGGCTCACAGGCATGAAAGAAAGCGACTGGTCAAACCTTGGCGTTGGAGCACAAAGAGGACTTTTCCCTGAAAACTTTACTCAGCGTTTGAATGAACAACTTTAGATAAAGAGGAATCTATCAAATATGTATTGGATCTGCCAAGACAGTATGTAGCTGAGCCTGTTCAGTTTAGGAAACTAATCTGCAGCACTGTTGCATTGACAGCCACTAAAACAACATCAGTTCCTTGTCAGCATGAAGTCACTCTGTTGTACCTTCTCTCTGAATGACATGTTTCCTTCTATTAAAACTAGAAAGATTTAATAGAGAATTTTTTGCTGAAATGCAACATAAAGGATAAATTATATCGACATTTTTAACTGTGTAAAACTGAGGTGAGGTGTAGCTTCCCTGCAGCATGTGTGTTGAAATTAACTTGAAAAATCTGATCAACTTTGTGCAGTTATCTATGTCTGTGCTTTTATGTTATATGAAAATAATGAATCCTGTATCTTGATTCCAATGCTCATTGTTGCTGTGGCTCTTTAATCACTCTTTCATTGTTTAATACGTGTTCATGGATCATAATGTGTTTCAGAAATCCTGATATCAATAATCTGAGTATTTATGAAAGTCACTTCTAGCAAATTAAAAGGCAGAATTTTCCTTAATGATAATCCAAATCAACCTGTTTATGTTGAAATGGACAGAAGGAAATATATAATATATAAAACTGAATATGCAATATTTGCAATGTGACTTCAAGACTCAGGTAGATAAATAAATCTCTTCTTTTAGCAAGTTACTGTTTACCTGTAGACGTTTAGGAAATGTAGAAAATTAACCTGTGTAAAAAACAAATAAAGCATAATTCATAAATGAAGACTGTGTTGCATATCTGTCCCAGATTACAGAATCAGATGGACATCCCATTGCAACAACTGATAATCAGCTGAACATGTTACTTGTTAAAGAAAAATAAATTTCAGTTTAAGCTTCATGATTTGCAAGTTTTAGATCTACAAACATGATAACTCCATAATGTCACCTTCAGGAGAAAGATACATGAAAACATGCTGGATTTTTCTAGGCCTTTCTTTTCCTAAGTTATGATCTAAAATGTTCATCAGAGGGTTTTATATTTAAGACCCTAACCCAACATTTTATTAATAAATTTTCATAAAACTTTGTTCAGATGGTTAATTAAGGAAGATGTGAGTCAGTTGGTTCGTCTTCAGACATTTAGTTACCATCCTAAATGGTATGCAACTGCAGGAATGCAACTTTTACATGCATTCCTGCTTTAAAGTCAAAAGGCTGACTTCCCTCTCAGCTCTTCAGAGGTCTGCTAATAAACCAAGAACTTTAATAAACCATGAACTTGAACCAGACATGTTGGAGCAGGGATGCATATAAACATGGTAGCTCTTTGGGATTAGATAATAGCACTCCTGACAGCAATTATCTTTTGTTAAATAGATGGACCACTGAACCAAACCCGTCAACAGACCATGAGCTCAGGCAATGTTGATCTGGTTAAGTTCAAAGTTTAGACCAGGGAACGTCAACCCCAAGCCTTCAGGGTAATTTTATTTATATCGCACTTTTGTCAGGCACTTGTTTCTACATGTGCCAGAATCAGCAGGTTTTAGATGAATGTCTGTTTTCAACACACATGAGTGACGATGATATTCATAGAAGGGTTCTGAAAACTTAACTCACCACTCAGGATTCAACTATTTCATTCAAGTGTGTTGGAAAGAGGAAACATCAACTGACCCATTAGGCCTGAATTTGATTAGCCCTGGTGTAGAATCTTTTTCAAATTAAAAGCCACTTCATAAAAATAGATTTGGAAAATTCACAAGAGTATGAACTTAAACATTTACTTGATAAGACACAGTAA